TTTCCGACAGTTGATGACATGGTCACTTTTTCTCGAAGCAATGCATATGTTGGACTGTTTTACCAGTCGTAATGTGAGTAAAATAAACCAATATTTATTTTATAAAACTATTATTTTGGTGATAATTAATACCTTCCAGTCACCTTGTATTATCTGGTATAATTATTTGTCATAAATTATACAAAACATCCATTTTTAAATGAATATCTATTCCAAACACTATTTTATAATTGTTTTTGAGAAACATATATAAGAGGTAAAACTATTTCAGGCGCTATTTCAGAATTTTATTTCAGAATTATATACGGGGGGGGGGGATAGGTTACAGAAATATCACAGGTGCTATCTTTAATTGTATATATGACGGGTACAAATAAACAAAATATTCCAGGTACTATCTTAAAAATTGATTATCAGAAACATGTACAAGGTGTACACAAATGTTTTATTTTAGTTAGAAGTTTTAGGAGTATTGAGATTGAACGTGTTTGTGGAAATGTGGAAATTAAATGATATTATCGTTTGCATTGGTAATGTTGTGCATAAGTATACTGATACATATTTACACAACAAGATAGACTGAGGAAATAGACGGAAAGAAATAGTCAAGTGTCAACAATACTTATTTGTTAATATATATGTAAGACGAATACTGATACTTGATAGAATATTTTGAACAGTATGTATATTATTTAAAGGCGATTCTAGATGGTCATGCACATTGTTTGTATATTTATATATATGTTTATGTCATAAAATTTTGAAAATATAATAATAAAAAAAGTGTCAACAATACCATATAAAAAGGCAAAACATGAACAAAGGAAAACTTAACATGGAGATCTATGAAATCGTACCAAAAAATAAGCCCAGGAGTTCTGGTACAGGGAGCGTCTTCTGACTCATCGTGGGCACCCGACATGTAAATAATCTAGGTCCAATCCGAGTAATGCCACGTCCTCCTATTGAAAACTGGGATAGTAACAACAAAGCAATAAAGAACACTAATGAAAATTATCAAAAACATCAACAATTATACTATATCAAGGGGAGGCGGTGTCCAAGTGGTTAAGGCGTCTGACATTCTGCTACCACTAGCCGTCCACAACTGGGTCGCAGATTCGAGACCTACGTGCGGCAGTCGCCAGGTACTGGCCCTAGGTCAATGGTTTTTCTCCGGGAACTCCGGCTTTCCTCCGCCACTAAAACTTCACATGTCATTAAATGACCATAACTATTAATAGGACGTAAAACACAAACAAACATACTATATCACACAAAGACATACAATGCAGCTTATTCTCAATGAGGTCGAAATGGTTTTCGTAAAACTTGTCCATAATCTCACCTGCATCTTAGGAAAGACACACTCACTAACCTTAAAAGGATCAAGTTAAGTGTTCCTGTTATTAAATGATGAAAGTGTGACATTGAATTTTTACCTGTTAAATATGGGAATAGATTCAGTGTGCGAACAAAACTAGGTACACTGAACTATTTAGCTGTTTGAACCAAAAATATATATATAAAGCTATCTAAAACATTTAGTTTAAACATAGGGGTTGAATAAATCTCTTAAATAAAACCCTTTTTTCAAAAGTCAAAACGTATAGAATTTCTGGTTAATTCCGTACCAGTAATAAGTAACGTTGCTATATCATAGAACGTTCCACTACTTAAAAAGATAAACATGGTCACCAAGGCTTAGGGAATCCTTGGTTACTAAAACATCTTGAAGATGAGTGCCAGACACACATTGCACCTATACAATTTGGTAATAGCTGTGGTTTGCAATATTGTTTTACGAGACTATTGACATGATCGGCATCCTTCCTATATGAGATATTATTAGAATCGTCCCCTACCTTGAGGGTGTGACAGAGAAATCTCTAACCCGAGAGGTGATGTCTTTTGGTTGTCTAACCCGATGCTCTGTCGAGGGATAGACAACCAAATAAATCACCCCGAGGGATTGAGAATTCTCTATTACACCCTCAAGGTAGGGGATGATTATTTTTCTCCCATCCTATTATTTCAGTCACAGCTCCACCGACAGTAGTCTGGCATGTTTGTAAACAAAAACACATGTGGGGTATGCCTATCGTCATTCACTTTTGATGACGTCACAATTACCGATGACGCATTTTAATGACGTCACAATTGAACACGTGCTAATCGGCACGAGGCTATCTCCCCCTAGAGGGTTACAAGCTGATCTTTCCTGGCTAAAGCTGGAGACACACCTGTGAAGGGTGGGAGAATAACTCATTCTTCCATCGTCCATGTTGGTATTTTAATTTTGTAAGCTAAATCTTAATAGGGGATTGTGTCCTGTATTCCGGTAAATGCGTTCACTATTAACTTGTATCACATTGCATGCACATTCACGACACCATAAACCACACCAAAATTGTTCATTAAAGTTATACTGTACAGCCAAAACCCTGTATCAAGAGACAACATTCGGAATGTTTAAAAACTTATTTACATAGATAGTCTCCACATACACCGTGTTTCAGCTCACAATGAAAACAGTGTAAAGTTCACGTTTGTTGCAGGATGTTCATCCGAATTTTTCTGGGTTCGACTGTAACGGCAAGGTCGAAAACGGAACAGTTCCCCATCACGTAACTTACGGGCAGTTTCCTGAGGTTGGCGCATTATTTTGCTGCTATCCAATAAGTTGTGAAGAAGGTAAATAATGTATATATATAAGGAATAACCAGGATACAATTTGGGGTTATATACGGTATATCCAAATGTACCAAAAAACTGTGTGCACTTTCCATAAATCTGCAAAGCGGATTATGCACAAAAATGCAAAACGCTTTTTTCAGTATATAACGTATAATCCCAACAGTATTGTTTTTCCTTAAAATTTAATTTAAAATGTCAGACAACGCATTTGAGTTCATAGCTAATGAATATGTATTCATGTCTGATAAAACAATACAAAAAAAGTAAAAAAAAACAACAACATTGCGCATTAATTTCATTGCCAACATTTTTTTTCTATCAAATTAATACTTTTATAATTTATCATATTTCACTGGTAAAATAGTTAAGTATTGAATGACATGTGATGTTTATCAAGGGAGATAACCTAATAATGTATAGTTCGTTTCTTTTCATTTTATTTACAAGGTTATGTCTGTATGTTTTTACTCATGGTGCTTTATTAATTTGTTTGCTCACTTAAGGTCTATTTGTTCCAACTTAAAGACTTCTTATGGTGAAGTCTTGGAACAAATTATATTTGTTTCCATCTGAACTGTAATCAGAAAAAAATGTTGTTAATGTAATGAAATAATACCTGTAAAGGATAGTTGAATAATCATGAAGATTTAAGTAAAACTTATATTGTGATAATTATACTTTAAAGGATAATTTGACTATATCACACGCATTTTGAATTCCGTCTGAATACTGTGAAATCACTCATTTTCGTTGTTATTTTTTACTTTCAGTGATTGCATTTGTATGTGGGTACATGTTATCATCATCAACTCATCCATAGGTCTACGAAATCGAAGTAGTTACAAATTGGGTATAAAGCGATTCCCATTGTGAGCGAGTTCTTTTAATCCTCGAACTTTTATAACCACGAAATAGAAGTTTTTCGGAAAACCTCCAAATTGGATCCCAGCCAAAATATCTGATTTCACAGTATGTCGTACAAATTTCAATACTCTTTTTTTAAGGAACCATTGAATTCTGTACAGAAGACAAAGGCACTGATGTGTGTGTGCCGTGTAAAGGCAATGGAACAAGCGCAACTTGCAACTATAGACAGGTGACCTCAAAGTATTCCTTTCGAGAAGTCGATCATTGCAAGAAACCATGCACTCGTAAAAACGGTACATATTTTTCTAACTATCCATGCTATTTGTCGAAAAGAATTTCGAGAATTGTGCCGAATGAAGTTTCACTTGGTGACCGTTGTGGGCTCTAAAAGACGCGAAACTTTGAATGTACCAAACACGAATTAAAACTTCTTATTCATTTTAGATATACATTGTAACACGACATTTGATTGGTAAATACAAATAATTTGCGACAATATAACCACGACAAACCATTCGCGGGTTTCTCATGCACTTGATAATTCATGACGTCACGAGCAATTGTGATATCCTTAAATTTCGTCTCACTTTGAATATAACTGACGTCACCAATCAATGGCAGAGTGACCCAGAATTCGAAGAAAACACTCAAAAACATTTTAAATCGACGTTTCTTTTGGTAATGTTTGGCTTGTATGGTTTATAATAGGGATAATCTTACTGTGATTTGAAATTTGGAATATCTGTTATTATCACAATATACCGCCACAAAGGTCGAAATACAGTAAGGTTATTTCCTATCTATATTTTGTTTTGCAAAATTTATTATTATTTTAACTGTTTTAATCAACAACTCACATATTACTGGAATGCATATCCATTTTTCATTTGAATTTGCTTTCATGTTTTATATGCAAAACATGATCAATTAATATTGTATCTTCTTCATTATAACTTTAGCTACCTATCCTCCTAATCTCTTCAATAAACTGCAGCCTTACATGAAAAACAAAAATCACAAAAATATCATCTTGTTATTTCAAGTATGTCACTGAAAATGATGTTCCAATAGACGTACAACGGTGACGTCATAATAATCTCCCCTGTTAAAGATACAGCTATACAACCAGTCATTTGCAGCAAAGTTTATACATTTTAGAGGTCCGTAGTAAATAACTTCCAATGCAGCAATGACTTTTTGAACTTTAAGAAATAACTAATTACTATTGCTGAGATTGTTTAAAAATCTTGGATTAAAGTTGAATTATATAAAGAAAGGAGTGATGATTTTAAGCTTAATCAATACTGTTAAATCTGAAAAGTTGTTGTAGATATCAAGATTATTATCTTTAAATGTCAAATGTTTTCTTATATGACATTTTCTTGAAAAGAAACAATGTGATACGTTTCAAAATAAAGTATTTTATATAATTTTAGCTGTACCGGATGTGTCCTTATATCCAACATCTCATACGAAAAAGGAAGGGGATGATCTAACTCTACTGCCGACAATATACAGTGACTCTGAGCTGCTAGGGTTTCTCTGGAAGTTCATAAATACAACTGCCTCCTATGACATCGCTAGTTCTTTAAGAGGAATTTCGAATCCAGGAAAATACCTTGTTGGAACGATGCCAAACCCCTATTTGAACATCAGTAAAATTGAATTGTCAGACCAAGGGACCTATCAACTGTATATGTACAACCACATTGGATTGTCAAATGTCGAGAATGTCACATTGTTTGTCACTAGTGAGTCATATTACAAGCGTCGTCCTTTGTCGTCCTTTTCAGAACAGAATATGTACTAATGTACTAATTCATGTTCATTCTTTGCATTTAATAAATTTTCACAAATAATTTTCGAAGATTTTCCATAAAACCTGTTCTGAAGGTTGCTATTTAACAGCAGATTCGTCCATTTAAATTATGTTTTCATGACTAGTTTTGTTAACCCAATATCAATGAGTAATTATCTTAGATTCTAGATGTATACATGTGGCCAATTACATCGCCGTTATCTATTTGTATTGCAGCAAAACCTATCGTTACCATGGCAAAAGAGAGCGGCAACGTTGATGGTGGACACCTATACAATCTGACATGCAGAGTTGAGGGGAATCCGACGCCCATTACATCAAGTTATCTGTTTAAAGATATGCAAGGAAAAGTAACAAAGATTATTTCAAATGTGTCATCAGACGGTGTGATCACACACACCATATATAATGCAAGTGCCAGTGATAGCGGATATTACACATGTAAAGCAGAAAATAGCGAAGGCATAGGAGAAAGCACCTTGCATTTGACTGTTGACAGTGAGTATTTTTAGAGAGAGGGCATATTTTGATATACATTTGTATTTTGTAACACTCAAGCTGCAAATAATAGAAACAATCACAAAAATTGATAATTAGTGACGTTTTTATGTATCCTTTTGATCATGTAAATATTCTCTATATTGTGCGTAAATATACATTACAACCATGCACTAATCTTAACACATTTTATTTCTTAGTATTTTAACTAAATGGGAGAATACTTTCTCAAAATGTTTTCTTAACATTTTTATTCGTAATTCGTAAAGTTATCTGTACTCATGATCGCAGAAAGTATTACATTGTACTAGTATGTTTCAGCAATTTTTATTTACAAGGAATGAAAAAGACATAGCTTGATAATGGGACCAGTCGATTTTGAAACGTTGCGACACGTTTAATACGTACATTGTTTGTGAAGAAAGTAAATCTTTGATATCACATATTTCCAAACTGATGAATTTTATTGAACAAAGGCAAGCAGTTTTTAATCATCATCTTTGACATAAATGATTTAGAATCCGAATCAAGGTTGTAGATAAATAAAAGTTGCAGTAATTTCCCAAAAATACATATTGGTAAATGTTGATAAAAAATGAATTACTTTTGACTGATAACTTAATATATGTTCCAGTACCGCCAGAAATGTACTCTCCGTTTGGCGGACGTTTAAGTAGATATGACGTCGGGGACAGCATGTCTATGTCTATATGGGTGACTTCAACACCAATTGTGGATAACCTCCTCTGTAGAAATGAGGGTAACCAACCAACTAAGATGGTGCGCAGTTCCGCTTACAACATCACCAGCGTTGGGAGGACATACAATTTCTCAATTCATAATATTCGTCCGCAAGATGGAGGAATTTACATATGTACCGCTACTAATAGGTTAGGGACTAGCAGCATATCCGTGGAGATAGTCGTGAACTTCCAAAGTAAACTGCCAGTACCCCAAGGTAAGTTTCTCCTTTCACACACAAAGGAGTACATAATTATATAGTTAAGCCTTTCAGTATTGTCCTATAGATACAATGTTTACGTTATGAGGTCCGCTATTATGACTAGGAACTCATATCATATCACCCTATGGTAAAACACGGCAAAGTGGTGATACACCTTTCAAGGTTTAGAGAGTATGAGCCTCAATCTCTTTTCCAATCCTGTTTAACAAGAAAATGTGTTATATTTTGACATTATCCCGAATTACCAAACAGAGAATTACATTAATAATGACCGATACTACTAGCGTTCAATGTATTTTGTACAATTATTAGCCTGCGGTGACAACCTAACAGAGGGGGGTATGTGATTAAACGGCAACATATTTCAAAAGTGATCACTGTTTGTTTTTTTTATTATTTTATGTTGTGTTGTTTCATAGTGACTATTCATCTGTTATATGTTGTAATTTATCAATGTTTATGTTTCTGTCTTCAAGAAAAGGAGGCAGATTGCCCTGAAAAGATGAGATATTTTGTTCTCTACACTATCGTTATTACTTCTTTGTCTTAAATAATATGCATCTAACAAACATTTGTTTGTTTAGATCGAGTACCTATTTTGGATCATACTGTCGTTATAACTATTTATTATTAAATATGTTTTAACTCATCAAGTGATGGTAAATTGAGAAACAGGTTGGATTGCAACAATTTTCGTTATTGTTTCAGATACGGAAATAAAAGATTGTAGTAAGTAAAATACCCTTTCACTTTACTTTAAAGTATTGACATATTTATCATTAGGTATGAGATAAAAGCTTGTATTAAATAAATGGGTTTTTTTTTAATTTAGTGCATGCTTAATACTGTGCGAATGGTAGGGTATCAATGGTTTGTACATGTGTAGGGTATCAATGGTTTGTACATGTGTAGGGTATCAATGGTTTTTAGATGTGTGGGGTATCAATGGTTTGTACATGTGTAGGGTATCAATGGTTTGTACATGTTAAGGGTATCAATGGTTATTTACCTGTGTGGGGTAACAATGGTTTTTACATGTGTAGGGTTTTAATGGTTTGTACATGTGTAGGGTTTCAATGGTTTGTACATGTGTAGGGTATCAATGAAGTGTATTGTGAGGAGGTTGTAATGTAAATGGACAGTCAAACCCGTGTATGTGATGAATTAACCTGAATATCATATTAAACACCAAACATAAGAACATGGGACTATTTATTTTAATGTTGATTTAAAAGATGTTTTCAGTACTAAAAAAGAAAACTTTTTGGTGAATTTCTTTTTTTCAAAATATATAACGATTAATAATGCGAATAAATATGTTTAATAGTTGGAATCAAGAAGTTAATGCAAACATTTGATATCATAAAGGTATATGTGATTATGTTTTAGCATGATACAAACTGGTTGTGCCGTATAATCTTTAACTATTAACGCCAGTGCTAGGGTCTTGAACCTGCTGAGTGGTACATTTCCTAATATGGAAAAAGAAACATGCTATTGTCATAAATATATCGTAAATAAATATATCATTGTTTACGTACATGTAGCTTGTGTGTTCTTTTGACTCCCTGACCTTAAATCAACGATGTCTCTTCTTACCGCTCTTTTAATATGATAGTGTGACTCTCTGACCTGACAGTAACAATGTTCGTTATTACCTTCTTTTTTTATATGATAGTGTGACTCTCTGACCTGACAGTAACAATGCTCGTTATTACCTCCTTTTTATGTGATAGTCTGGCTCTCTGACCTGACAGTAACAATGCTCATTATTACCTCCTTTTTATATGATAGTCTGGCTCTCTGACCTGACAGTAACAATATTCGTTATTACCTTCCTTTTTATATGCTAGTGTGGCTCTCTGACCTGACAGTTACAATGTTCGTTATAACCTCCCTTTTTACATGGTAGTGTGGCTCTCTGACCTGACAGTAACAATGTTCGTTATTACCTCGTTCGTTATTACATCCCTTTTTATACAATAGTGTGGCTCTCTCACTTGACAGGAACCAGCCGTTTATTACCGTTTTTTGTTTCAGAGTTGCTCTTTGACCTGACATCAATAATGGCAGTTTTTCCTCCCTTTTTATGTTTTAGTGTGGCTCTCTGACCTGACAGTAACAATGTTCGTTATTACCTCCATTTTTATGTGATATTGTGTTTCTCTTACAGCAACCATACGTCTTTCTACCGGTTTTTTTTATGTTTCATGGAATGACTCTGAACTGAAAACAATTTTAGCTGTTATATCCACTGGCTTTGCTATTGTCTCTCTACTACTGGTTCATCTTAACTGCTGTGGTATGTTTCAGACTTTAAAAAAAAATAAAAAAATAATTGGCATTATTTAAAGAGAAAATGCATGTGTGAATGTCTTTATTACTTGAATGATGACAGTTTGAGGACAAAATAATGCGTTATATCAGTTCAATCTAGAGAACTCCACGAGGATATTGTACTATAAAGCGAACTGCCAGTGGCTATCTTAATATTTGTTGTTGCAGGAAACACTATCAACAACCGTACACGGGTTATCCTTACGATCTGTTTGTGTGGTATTACCGTTTTCGGTATTACGGTTTGTGTGGTTACCAATCTCGATTACTGCATCATATGTAAGTCGTAAAACTATTTATTATTAATATTTTGTAAATAAAAATGTTTGAAGTTTATTGGAACAGATATGTTTTTGTTTTACGTACACCCCTAAATTAGTATTTACATATTGTCTACTATGTTAATATACGTTTAATAGACATGACAGATGTGTTACAAAACATAAAGCAATATATAACAATATATAATAATGCATTCATTTACCTACGCTTGGTGTGAATATACAGTTTTGTCTGATTAATGTTATTTTAACTCGCTATCACGTACTGATATTCGAGCAAACAATTCCCTCTTATGATAACGTTTTATAAAAGGAAATTACATTTTAGATTTTTACGATGATTATTACGTGTTGTTTGTCTCCTTTCTCTTTATATTTCTGAGTAATTATCAGTAAGACAGCCTCCAAAACTTTTGGTTTTTCCAATTTGATAAAACAGAGGGCACAGGATAAACTTAGGTGTGACTTGATTTTTTTCATCATATAACTAAGATTTGTTTTAAATACTTTTGTAAAACAATAATTCAAAACTTAATCGTAAATTGATACATCGTATTATTTTCTCTGGGGTCAGTGACGATGAAATTGTGATGTCACAATTTAAACTTTCGAGATAATGTATAGCAAATCACAGCTCTACTAGGTGCTACAATGTATGAAATGAGTGTTTATAATAGATATTTTAGACATATATCATGGGAACCTGATAATGTAATGTTGACTAAAAAGGTCAAGTTTATGTGTTAAGATATATCTTACATCAAATTCACCATCACAGAAGCCCATAATTGAAATATATATTAAATGCTTCCAAATTAGATCAAATAAAAGAGTATCAAAATCATTTTAATAAAAATATTTGCATACGAATGTTTTTGATTTTTTTTAGTTTTAAAATCACGGTTTGAAAAATTGTACTGACCAATAACTATATTTTTTGTATTAAATGATAACCAAACATTGACTTAGTCCATCTGATATGTGTTTGTCTAGTATCTATAAAATTAAAGCGATCCCTCTTAAGGATATATCAACAGATCATTATTCAGTTGGAAACCGGCCTGCATTAGTTTTTAAGAACTACTTATGTGTACAATCTGGCTAATTGCAATGAATTATCAAGAACATATCACAGTCTATGTAGTAAGTGAATGGGTGATACAATACAAACGACATTGTGGTTGAGTAATAAAAGATCACAATGACTTACAATGAACCTTTTATTTCTGTTTCAGCTACCATAGCGATGGACATCATCTTCTGGATTGGATTTTTGTTTACAATTATGATTCAAACCTGGTGCTTCTATTCCGTGTTCCCGGGCGGACCAAGTATGTGAATATTCATTGTTTGAAACTTATAAACACTTATAAATATGTCAATATGTTTAAGATAATTTCGATTCTCTCTTCATAAGAATTAATGATAACATTGATGTTTACATATCTGTTACGTTACTTGATATTTTTCCGTAAGCTCCAAAATAATAAAAATCGCTGCAATGGTGACTTTATCTATAAAATTATCGGTAAAAGTACGTCCGTATTTATTATATCATGGCAACAAATTTTATAGCGAGTTTTTTTTTATTTTAACGTAATTCTCCTGTTGTTGATTGTTATACTAAAAATACATCCATATGCTATATCAATGGTTCATGTAAAATCATTACTATTTTAGAATGTAAGACTTTTATCCTCTATGCTGTAGACACACTTGATAGCCAACAAACGGATCATGAGCTACAACCAATAAATGAACAACACTAACATGGTGAACTACTACCACTTAATGAACAACAACAACCTGATGAACAACAACAACTTGGTGAACTACTACCACTTAATGAACACCAACAACCTGATGAACAACAACAACTTGGTGAACTACTACCACTTAATGAACAACAACAACCTGACGAACAACAAAAACTTGGTGAACTACTACCACTAAATGAACAACAACAACCTGATGAACAGCAACAACTTGGTGAACTACTATCACTTAATGAACACCAACAACCTGATGAAAAACAACAACTTGGTGAACTACTACCACTTAATGAATAGCAACAACCTGATGAACAACAAGAACCTGATGAACATCAACCACTTGGTGAACTACAACCACTAAATGAACAGCAACAACTTAATGAACAACAACCACTAAATGAACAGCAACAACCTGATGAACAACATCAACTTGGTGAACAACAACCACTAAATGAACAACAACAACCTGATGAACAACAACAACTTGGTGAACTACAACCACTAAATGAACAACAACAACCTGATGAACAACAAGAACCTGATGAACATCAACCACTTGGTGAACTACAACAACCTGATGAACAACAACAACTTGGTGAACTACTACCACTAAATGAACAACAACAACCTGATGAACAAAAACAACTTGGTGAACTACAACCACTAAATGAACAACAACAACTTAATGAACAACAACCACTAAATGAACAACAACAACCTGATGAACATCTACCAGTTGGTGAACTACAACCACTAAATGAACAACAACAACTTCATGAACAACAACCACTAAATGAACAACAACAACCTGATGAACAAAAACAACTTGGGGAACTACAACCACTAAATGAACAACAACAACTTGATGAACAACAACCACTAAATGAACAACAACACCCTGATGAACAAAAACAACTTGGTGAACTACAACCACTAAATGAACAACAACGATTTAATGAACAACAACCACTAAATGAACAACAACACCCTGATGAACAAAAACAACTTGGTGAACTACAACCACTAAATGAACAACAACAACTTGATGAACAACAACCACTAAATGAACAACAACAACCTGATGAACAACAACAACTTTATGAACTACAACCACTAAATGAACAACAACCACTAAATGAACAACAAGAACCTGATGAACATCAACCACTTGGGGAACTACAACCACTTAATGAACAACAACAACTTAATGAACAACAACCACTAAATGAACAACAAGAACCTGATGAACATCAACCATTTGGTGAACTACAACCACTAAATGAACAACAACAACTTAATGAACAATAACCACTAAATGGACAACAAGAACCTGATGAACATCACCCACTTGGTGAACTACAACCACTAAATGAACAACAACAACTTGATGAACAACAACCACTAAATGAACAACAACAACCTGATGAACATCTACCAGATGGTGAACTACAACCACTAAATGAACAACAACGATTTAATGAACAACAACCACTAAATGAACAACAAGAACCTGATGAACATCAACCACTTGGTGAACTACAACAACCTGATGAACAACAACAACTTGGTAAACTACTACCACTAAATAAACAACAACAACTTAATGAACAATAACCACTAAATGGACAACAAGAACCTGATGAACATCAACCACTTGGGGAACTACAACCACTTAATGAACAACAACAACTTAATGAACAACAACCACTAAATGAACAACAACAACCTGATGAAACTAAATGAACAACAACAACTTAATGAACAATAACCACTAAATGAACAACAAGAACCCGATGAACATCAACCACTCGGTGAACTACAACCACTAAATGAACAACAACAACCTGATGAAACTAAATGAACAACAACAACTTAATGAACAATAACCACTAAATGAACAACAAGAACCCGATGAACATCAACCACTCGGTGAACTACAACCACTAAATGAACAACAACGATTTAATGAACAACAACCACTAAATGAACAACAACAACCTGATGAAACTAAATGAACAACAACAACTTAATGAACAACAACCACTAAATGAACAACAACACCCTGATGAACAAAAACAACTTGGTGAACTACAACCACTAAATGAACAACAACGATTTAATGAACAACAACCACTAAATGAACAACAAGAACCTGATGAACATCAACCACTTGGGGAACTACAACCACTTAATGAACAACAACAACTTAATGAACAACAACCACTAAATGAACAACAACAACCTGATGAAACTAAATGAACAACAACAACTTAATGAACAATAACCACTAAATGAACAACAAGAACCCGATGAACATCAACCACTTGGTGAACTACAACCACTAAATGAACAACAACGATTTAATGAACAACAACCACTAAATGAACAACAACACCCTGATGAACAAAAACAACTTGGTGAACTACAACCACTAAATGAACAACAACGATTTAATGAACAACAACCACTAAATGAACAACAAGAACCTGATGAACATCAACCACTTGGGGAACTACAACCACTTAATGAACAACAACAACTTAATGAACAACAACCACTAAATGAACAACAAGAACCTGATGAACATCAACCACTTGGGGAACTACAACCACTTAATGAACAACAACAACTTAATGAACAACAACCACTAAATGAACAACAACAACCTGATGAACAAAACCAACTTGGTGAACTACAACCACTAAATGAACAACAACAACCTGATGAACAACAACAACTTGGTGAACTACAAACACTTAATTAAATTACAGCAACCTGATGAACATCAATCACTTGGTGAACTACGACCACTTAATGAACAACAACGACCTGATGAACAACAACCACTTGGTGAACTACAACCACTAAATAATCAACAAAAACATGGTGATCAACAACCACGTGCTGATTTTTTTTATTTATTATGCTTTTACTTACGGAAATATAACAATTAGTTTGTTATGTGATTTAATGATCCCCAGCTAATGCCAAGAACTGTAACGAATGTTTGGAAGCTGTTTTTCTGGCATGACTACTGCTTTGATAAAATATTTCTGAAAATAACATACCTTGCACGGCTTTAATGAGAAAAACATATAAACGACAAAACGAAGTGAAATTGAGAGCAGTGTTTTGAGATTAAATAGCATCAACAAGGCTAGACCGAGATTCCAGCACTGGACTTCAGATTGATATAACACCGCTCTAACCAATTGCGCTATCGGTAAATAGAAGAGTCTTGGATCCAACGTGCTACTTCATTATATCCAAACGGAAGTTAAGGGGAGGTTACTGAATAAAGGCAATAATACACAATCCTTGATATAAAAACCAGTTAGCAAAAACAGTGTTCTCTACACCCATTTTACAACTGTTACGTCATTTATTATATACCACTGTTTGGTGTCTCTGATATTTATACTTTTATATTTACCAATAAAGGCCACGTTAATCTACTTGATGAAGTGTAGTTCTCGAAGAAGACGATCTGAGCATATTTGGTTACGATATTTACAAATTTTTAGTCATCTTTATCAACCTGTATTTGTGAACATTTGCTTGCGAGTTGTGATAAAGTTTAGGTTTGTTATTATATGCATTTGGTTCGACACTTTTAGATGGTTTTGATTATGATCGCCTGATTCTAATTTTGAGGAATTATCACGTATATGAATTAACCCAATATGAGATGTTAGCAACGAAGTGTTATTTATATACGTATATATAAAGTGTTATTTTTACAATGTATAAATATAGTGCTGTGAGATGTATACTTTGCCTTCGACATTGCAAACAAATTAGTCCGTAACTTTAACATTTTTCATATATCAAACATACCAGATAGCATACATGTGTCCATTAAATGATTCAGTATTTCTTCTTAATTACAAATACCTTGAATAAGCAATGTGATATTATCAAATGTCTGTAATTCACAGGCAAAGAAGTTTCGATTAATTAAAATATTGAAACGTTTTTCTCTGTAAAAACAGCATAATGATAAGTGATTTGTGTAGAATTGAGATGTGAATATTTATCCTTGTTATTTCAAAAGAAATAATTCTAGTCTTCCGTCACTGGTATGTGTTACCTTCTCTTAACGAAAGGTTCAATCAGGATAATAACATACAAACGCGTACGGTTCTGTTTTACATTTCGAGAAAAGGTTCAAATGATGAAAATACTTCGGCAAATGAATAACGAATGTATTTCCTTTAATTACAATTGCATAAATTACCAGGAGCTGAATATTCTGAATATTATAAATGATGATAGATGTACACACACACGCCAAAATACATATATTACTTATAGATCACTTTATAATCAAATAATTTTAAAAATGTGTCCCTTTTGCAATTGTTCACTATTTTTCAGTTCAGAAAATCAAGCATGGGAAAGGAACAGACTAATGCTGGCATCTGGTATCCTGAGGTTTTACATACGGGTTTTGTGTTGGGTGCTCCATTTTGGTAATGTTTCCCTGTATACAGAAAACATGATTAAGGTTAAAGACGGTGCATGTATACATTTATAATGATAATAAAAAATAATATACAGCATTTGATATAGCGCCCTATCTAGCTGATGTAAGCCACTCTAAAACACTTTACAGTACATAGAACATACAATTTATACAATAAACATATACATTAATCAACACATATTTTTTAGAAGTCGCAGGAGCTGCCTTATCAGCCACTTACTACTAGTCCTATGCAACCTGACTAATATCGCCCTATGTGTGCACACTTGCGTGTGTGCTGGTGATGAGTTTTTTTCTTTCCTTGTATGATATGAAGGTCGACATTTTTACTTTGATCGTTAGAGTGCCTGTGGTTTTGTAGTCACTACCTGAATTCTCGATTTCAGGAATTGGCACTACTCGGATCCGACTTAGATTTACATGGCGGGTGTCATTAATATAGCAGAGATACTTATCCTTCCAGAGCACCTGGTCTTAACCTCCTTGTAATTTTTCAAGGGTCTCTTTTTAAAGTTTTTCTCTTATTCATGCATTAGTTTAATCGATTTTGAGTTCGAAATATGGTTTTGATAACACTTCAGTAATCCCTTGGGTTTTTAAGAGTAAGATAAGCTGTTGAATTGATGCAATTATTTTACAAAGAATGACAAACCCCGTTAAACCTCATGGAGACGTTTCATGTTGGTGATGATATATTTAAAAATGGGCAATTTATTTGTCGAGATAATGGAAATAGCGTATAGCTGTGAAGCTACTCGTGGTCCCATACTTCAATTTGAGAAAAGGATAAGCTACCCTTGTTTGTGCTAAGTATATGTGACCGAGCGATATTTTCATTGTCTTTGAACAACTCTTACATTAAATGCGTCAGTGTCTCCCAAGAGGTAATGGTCATACAGCGAGTTGTCTAGCGCTGACCGGAAGTTAGCTCTAACTGCCGGATCGGTCCAGTTCCATGACTTGAGCACAGGAAACAGTAGATCAGCATTGTCAGTTATCGTGTTATACAGGGGCAGACTAAAACAGATGTCCAGGTGCGTACGAGGATAGTACATAAGAAATGACTCGCACATCTCATCCTGTGTAGAGAATCCACCCTGTAATTTTTTTAAAATAATTATTTGTAATTACATACTTAAAGCCGACAAATTGATAGCGACATCATGATAATAACTTTAAACGAAATCAATTTAATAAAATCCTTTTGATGTCGTAAAATTCATAACCTCTCTATAACGACAATATCGTTACGTATAACGACAGCAATGTCATAATGACTTCAGTATAACGTTAAAGGAATTAGATCTTCATCTCTGTGACAATATGTTAATATAACGACAAAAATATCATATTCTCTCTATAACGAAATTACTATTATTCATTACCCCAACAATACAATTACAGCTTCATTATAATGATGTAGGTATTCGGTCTTCGTTTTTGTAACAACGTGTCTATATAAACTTATAATTATCATACTGTACTCTTTATAACGACATTACCATTCATTAAAGCGACAACAGTATCATAACGACTTCTTTATAACGATAAAGGTATTCTATCTTCCTCTATGTAACAACTTATTTATATAACGACATGAATATCGTATTTTCTCTACAACGGCATTTTCATTATTTATAACGACAACAACATTATACCGACTTCATTATAATAACAAAGGTATTCCATTTCCCTCGCTGTAACTACGTGTATATATAACGATATCAATATAATATTATCTCTATAATGACATAAGTTATATTGAAATCGTATGACGATATTGATTTCATTACGACTTCTCTATAACACACATTGCTATTGATGACAAAGTTAATAAAGATCAATAAAGTTATCAGACCATTGCAATATTTGCTGAAATATTCATTACTTATCTTTTCATTTTGATAGAATAGGTATGCTTAATTTAGTTATTTCTAACAGTTTTTGAACAGCAAAATAAGTGTTGACAGCAATAAAATTAGTTACGTCACAATTGAGATCGGTGAGGTCATAATAGCTAATGTTGTTATAATCTCATTACAACATTTGCCTTCTCAATGCATAGCAATGAAAGGATGCATAGCAAATGTAAATATTGATCTATATATCTAGCTCTACTCGAATCACACTTGCATACCAATCACGACCTCTGCCTTAAACAAATACTACATTTTACTTACCCATGTTATATTTTGTTTGTGGCTCGAATCGTAAACGCATTTCACCTCGACTTTGTCATCCTGTGTTATAATAAAAGTGTCTATGATAGTGATAATATAATGTGTATAAGGAATGGCGTTTGTGTACTGTTTTCACGCATGTTTACAAGTGTTTCTATAAAAACTTCGTTGTTTGCCCTTATTTGTCCAGCAGAGTATTTTGTTATATCTCTTTGTCTCTGTTAAACAACAGCACAATGATAAATGATTGTGTACACCTTTGAATTTTTATCTCAGTTGTTTTCATACGAAATTAATCAAGTTTTCCGCTACTGACATGTATTACCTTCCGATTATAAACAAGAATCAGTCCTTTTCTCAAAATAGTTGTTTTGCCCTTATATGCTAATCAGAGTACTTTGTATTATGTTAAGGAGTGTGAATAATTGAATGATATTTCGAGAGAGATTATAAGGAATATTGGGAAAACTTGATAAGATCTGTCATGTTGATTCCAATATAACAGATATTATAACAATAGGTATATTTAATAAATTGTTCGTTCGAGTGTTTTGCATTTCACATCTCCTAAACAGTTACGGCAATATATTACGACAGTGTAAACACATGATTACGTTACTTTCCAAGGACATCTCACGATATCACGTGATCATGATAGTGAAACGTCATATTGAGGAAAAGGTAGGAAGAGAAGAAAAACAGTTGATTACTATTGTTGAAGCAGATATCAGTTTTGGTGTTTTGGTGAATTAATTTTTTTCTTATAATCATAAAATAAGTTAGATTTGTTGGTGCCTACATATGTATTAGTCTCTGATACAGCGGACATTACATAGAGTTTGACCAAAATAACTTTATTCATATCTACATGTTTACCGTATATAGTCTGAAAAATATTCTCTTTAAAACAGATGAAATTGATCTTGATATCGTTGGGTGAATATTACGACTCGAACGAGGTTAGTTCTAGCAATATGTTATTTTCATTCTTAACATTTTCAGGATAAGCTCGGTTAAACCTTTGCATCCCTTTAAATAACAATAAAAACGGAAAGTGTCAGTTAAAAATAACATTTTACAGAACTTAAATCTTTGACCTAAAATACAGCATGTGCATTTTTTAACCTGGATTGATAACTATTTATTTTCATCATACATTACCGGATATATCTTTCTCTCCTTCGAAAGGTAGCGCATGTCCTGATAATCAAAATCATAATGTCTGTCGACAGCCAGTGGTTCGAGTTCGCTACCATTTCGGTAGAGACGTGTTATCATTTCTTTGCCCAGAAGATGGGAATGCTGTAGAATCGCAAATACGTTTATACCCTCTTGTGGTACGCCCTGTAATCTAATAACAAATTGATATTTTTATGTTTATCAGGTTTTTTACACTTGATATATTATTTCATTAGTTTATCATTTTCATGGCGTTCTTTTTTGCTTCGCTATGATTGGCCGCCAACGCTCATAACTTTTTACATAATGAGGTGCTGATTGCAGCCCCGGAAAGTTGACCGAGAAATCAACGACCAAATCAGATGAACTCGACTGAAAATGTTGACCATACTAGAAAGCATTAGAGCAATATTGTAACAGAAGAGTTGTAGTGCATGTACAACGGCAGACAGCAATACACAGACACCTGAATGTCGGGAGGAGTCAACATCAAGGTCTGGTTGTTTAGCGGTGATATCCTTCTACAGAATAATTAAAAAAAAATCAAAAACCCATTGAATGAGGCTGAAAATTGTATATCTTACATACTTGTATAACAAACAAAATAACCAAAACTATTTAAAACTTAAACTATGAAATCACATTTCATATAAAAACAATGGATTCTGGGAATATTATCGTTCTCTAGAGACATCAAATATCCTGTAACGAAAAAAGGGGGGATGTTGTGGAATGATCCTGTTATTCCAACAGACATAAATATGATATGTTTCCATTATTTATTCAAATACCTTTTGGACGAACTAATATTCACATTAATACCAAACTCGTTCCACTTAACATTTTTTTCATTGCGATGTACCATTTTCGTTTCTTTTGAAACTTATACATTATTATCAGGAATTTTCCTTTGTATTTTCACGATTATGACACTATTAATATATTTTACGCTCGGCGATATATTAGACAAATTTGATAAAGGAGTTGAAATAGTGATATCTTAATTAATCAATGTTGTTTTTCTATTTCATTTCTCATCACGGGACGTTTAACATGCACCTTATCCGTCTTGATATCAGAATAATACCTGTCGAAACGGCAAGAAATTGTAAGGTGAAATATAACAACGCTGTATCAGTGAATTTGACTTGCGTCACAATCACTCCTGTAAAATGAGTGAATATATATTCCGTCTTTGCGTATTGCAGAGGTATCTTCTCTTGTGAGCAGGTATTGATTGTTACGCCATTGATTTGTGAGAGCAACGTCATCAATTTTTGAGAAAAACGACGTAATTTCCTCACACAAACCAATGACGTAACAATCAATACCTGTTCACAAGAGAAGATAACTCTGCAATACGCAAAGACGGAATACATGTATCCCAGTTCTCCTGCTGCTTCAGTGAAGATATAATTTTCATACATATACTGCTTCGAAGCAGATATATATATACATATATAAATATTTTGATAGGGGATGCCAGGGTTGGGGAGCCTTGGAGTCAGTCCCTTAACAATATGTAGTCCTGCTGATTATTCATCATATTTTACAGCCAACAATGTAATACGTAGAGGATATGTAGGAATTGTCTTTCGAGTTTTGAACAGCTTTCGAGAGAGATTGGATAATTATAAGATATATTATCACATATGAGTGTAAGGAGGTTCATATACAACAAAAAATTCAAAGCTTTCTGTTCATTATATTCAATATTCAACAACGGCATTCAACGTGCGAACCTCGGGATGTGTCCATAATTCAGACCGAGCAGAACGCTTTCAGAATCTGATTACTCAATGAGAAATAGACTACGTAATTGGTTTTGTTTTGAATAATATATAATCAATTAAACACTTCTTCATTAATATACACTTGTATAAAATTATAATGTCTTTGTTTTCAATTTAAAAATGATATGAAAAACATTGGATATGTAATTATAATAGTATACAAATATTACTTATTTTGGGTTGATGATTCTGCATGTCCCAGTAGTGAATTAATTGACATTTTCGAGTAACAATATTTAAATATGCATATGTTTGACTGTAAACGTTTACGTCAATAATACGAACGTTTCATACCGCTAAGTGAGTATTGGTTACGTACCTTCCCGAGAAGTTCTGGAGGACAAAACCCTTGGGAAACGAAGGCTGGTTCCATGGGGGGAATAATATGCATCGGAGACTCACTCATTCCAAGAAGTAGGAGCCCGGCGTCGTGCGTTCGAAGAGTGGGAGTCATGGTGATTCGAATGCCTGAACTGTCAACGATGTCTATGGAACGGAAACAAATAGGCGTTACAAGAGGGATGTGTTCGTGCCGAATACGTCACTATTTACAAATTCGATTAAGTTGCAAAGGTGCATTCGGTGAACTAGAACATGTATTAGCAACAGGACACTGGAAATAGAATTCCAAAACTCAGTTTTCGCCAACGTGTTGTCGTTATTGTATGTAGAACCTGGAGACAATTTATGTTGCAATGGAGAGCGGTTGTTATAAAGATTCAAATTATTTTTTAAGTTGAGGTAGTTTCAATGACTCAGGGGCTTCACTGCTTTTTGAAAGCTAAAGTCCGTTACCTATGTTTAATACACAAAACAACTTCACTGTTCGATCATTTTATTAAACGTTCTTCTTTAATATGGTCTTTTTAAAGGCCTCCGGGTTATTATTATCTTTCCTCGTATTTCGCTATTTTTATATCAATTTTAACTCGACTTTTGATGTTGTGACACTGACTATTCCTTGTTGCTTTTTCTTTTAAACAATATACAATAAATGATCACCATCGAAATATGCATACCTGCTCTAGCAAAAAGATTGTTGTAATGGGTTTGAAGGATCAGAAAGTCGGGGTCGTCATCAGTCCCGAGTGAATACCCGGCAGAAGGGGGGTAGTAAAACGCCTGCCAATATAAAACAGACAGCTGCATTTAATAATCAATAATAATAATAATTCGAGGTTCTTATATACAGCTTTATCCCAAACTAGTTCGTAAGTCGTGTCAAAGCGGTTCACAAAATTATCCACGGTTATAGGGCCTTTGCAACCAGTCAATATCTTTGTCAGCATACAGCCGGTGCTGCCATTTCGGCGCTCACATCTAACATTCAACCATTCTAGCACTGCCCAACCACGTACTCATTTACAGCTGAGTAGACTGGAACAAGCGGAGAAAAGTATCTTGCTCAAAGATAATACACAGTGCCGTGATGTGACTCAAACCCGCAACTCTGCGGTCACGACCCGGCGTCCTACCACTAGACTATCGTGCCTCCTCAATCAGGTTGGTCTTATTCCAGCTTCCTCTCGAAGCAGCGTGCCAGAGTTAAACAAGTCATACCTCTAAGACAAAAATGAAAACAACACACATTTCTCATAAAGATAGCTGCTATATAAAATTATGTTTTTATATCCTCTGCTGCATCTAATCTTTGACAAAATAGATCTTAAAATGTGTGCGGAGGTCCAAACAATTTTCGCAACTTAGTGTTAAAAGTCATATACAATTCGTTGGAAAACACAAATGAAATGTTTGAGTTGAACTACAAGGAAACGCTACAAAGTTTGAATTTATATAACATAATGAGGTTGTAGTAAATGATGGTCTAAATATTGAAAATAAATAAAATATCAAAGCTACGATAGGTTCTCAAGTAGGTCCAACTTATAAAGAGATTCCAATTATCAACAGGAATTTTCATTTTTTGTGTTTTAGCCGAGTTTTCTGGAAAATACAAACCAACTTTATCTATATATGTTTCCTAGCTGGCTTGTACAGAAAAAAGTTAAACATGATTTTATACCCTAGCCGACCTGTCCGGAAAAGTAACAGCACGTGTTATGGTCCCTAGCCAGTTTGTCAGGTTAAAGAAGAAAGACGTGTTCATGTCGAACTATAAATACGTAATTCTATGAGAAACGTATTAAGATTCAGCATTTCCAACATAAAAAATGAAGCATCTCTAGAGTGATAGTTTAACTCCCCTGAGTGATACATATTTTCCTGAGTGTTTCCGATTTAAGATCCCAGAATCATACTTACCTCCCCTCCGACGGTCCAAGCGATGATGACCTTATAGAGACAACTTCGCAGAGGTTCCGGTTCCGATTTACCATCTCCACACTGGAAAACGGCGCCGTCGTACGCGGCTAGGTCGGCAGCACGCTTGTCACAACGGTTGACAACCATGTGGTGCACGTTCAGCTCATTTCCTTTAGTAATGACTGGCTCATACTGAAGGTTAAAATAATATACGGATAACGACTTACAGGTGTGTATTTTTTATATAAATTGTAAACAAATCGATTAAAAACAAGCTGAGCAGGTAAACATATTGTCGGTAAATGTTTAAAAATGGCTTTTTAAGCCGTATGATGCTACTTATTTATTGTTTACAATGCGTTCACTTAAATGTATTAAACTATTAACATTAAAAATTGTTTACTAGCGGTACACGGAATGTTAAACTTCATACCTGTTATATCCCTGAAACATTGTTAGTAAAGATTGTCAAATATATCAGCGTTTTCTGAGTGTTAACAGGGTATTGTGATTTTGTATCTTACAAATGTGTTGACAATTAAGTGAGTATTACATGTGTTTAGATATAGTTTTAATGTATTTGACTTTGCCATACCTTGATCATGTGATGTTTGGAGGTAAGGGGAGGTAACCTGAAGGCTCGACATGCGTAGGTGGTGGTGCTGTTCGGAACGTGGTACTGTGGTGACAGAAAACAAAAACGGACAGTTAACACGTGTTGTATACAAGTATTAGTTTTCTCCACAATGTTAACGTACCTGTACCGTTAAAATAATGAGACATAACATGAAATGTACAACAACAAACTTGTATTTTATACTTTATACAGTAAAAGGACACAATCGAGGGGACATCACAAACAAAAGGAGAGACACAGTGAACATTCATAAAAACTAAGGGTAGGTGTTTATTTGTATCTCATATAACGTGACTGAGGGCAAGTGGTTATTTTTGGACCGAATACAAAGTAACTTATGGCAAATATTTCATTGTACCGCTTATAACGTACAATAGGTAAGGGCATACAACGTTTATAAGGACAAGTGTTTCTAAGTACCGCTGCAACGTAAATAAGGGCAACTGTTTCTTTGAACCGCATACAGTGCAAGCTTTTCTTTGTAACGGATACAACATAAAAAGGAGCAAGTGTGTCTTTGTTTCTAAGTACCGCATACAACGTGTTTAAGGGCAAATGTTTCTAAGTACCGCATACAACGTAACAAAGGGCAAGTGTTTCTAAGTACCGCATACAACGTTTCTATGGGCAAGTGTTTCTTTGTCCCGCATACAACGTTTTTAAGGGCAAGTGCTTCTAAGTACCGCATACAACGTAACTAAGGGCAAGTGTTTATAAGTACCGCATACAACGTAACTAAGGGCAAGTGTTTCTTTTTACCAAGTATACCGTAACTTATGGCAAGTGCTACTTTGAACTGCATGAAAAGTTACAAAAAGGAAATGATTCTTTGTACAGCATACATGCAATAGATCTACATTATTTTATACGCTCGATGTAATCAAACTCACTCATAATACAAGTTACTGCATATGTAACGAATGGAAATGAACTAGATCTTTCTCACGTGTTGGCTGCAATATGAACCGTACAAAAATACCTCAAATAGAAAAAAAGATATCTCAATCACAAGAAAGATTGGGAGATACTCAAATGAACTCATTCATTAATATCCAAAAGAATGATTTAGAAATCAAGTGTCGCCTATGAATATTTCCGGATACCTAATCTTCACATCACTATGTGGAATAGCAGTTAACAATAACAATTGTTCAATAAATTATTTCACATATGTAGGTCTACATCAATCCAGTCGTCAGGTATGATACTTGTGAAATAAATATCAGCAATATTGAAATCTCTTACAACGACGGACAGTAAATAGCAATAACGACATGTAACATTCATTTCGAAAAACAAAAAAATGTTGATAAATACATAGTTTTCAATAAGAAAATGATATCCATAATCTGGAAGTTGTCATGAAGCATGACATGCGCCCTGAAATCTTACATTGTCTTGAACTAAGTCGAACGTAGATATGTCGGAAGGAAAGTTGACGTCCTCAGGTGTCAACGATGAAGACAGCAGCATGACGCTCTTTGTTCCTCTCCTGGTGGCGCCATGGTAGGGGATATAACTCGTCACGTCAACAGGATTGTAGGAGAAGATAAGTCTAGTGGTGTCATCCTACAATATAAAGTGAGGTCGTGTTTTCATAGAATACAGAGCACAGAACACAACTTTCAACCTCACATACAAATCAGTTATGAACTATATCCGATAATTCAGACTGACACATACATATTTAAACATATGTATTCAAAATTCGTCCCAAGTCCCTGTAACGGTAGAGAATGAGAAAGGAATACAAACAGATTTTGAGAAGCTGCTTAGCGCTTTTACCTCTTCAGGTCTTGAACAGGGGATCTGTCAATTTCAATAATCCAATATAAAACTACAGAATTATCTTTCCCTGATGAACACCTAAAGAAGTGAAATCGATAAGAAGCTGCTCCGAATCTGTTTATTTTTCTTTTCAAAATACATATTTATATATTGTTCATTTAGACCATTGTAAGCACATGTAACTATCTACTTCTAAAACCTTCTGAAACATATGTAGAATATAATGAAAGGGGAAACGAACCCTGTAACGTTTGATACAACAATATCTTATTTTTAATTTACATTAGGAATAAATAGATTCTCATAACGATATAGTCATATGCATTGGCGCAAAGTAATTGATATCGCAAATTCGCTTACATAGATTCCATTTGCAAGTTACATGAATGGTATGCCTATTTTTAATACCAGCGGTGTATAAGTTCCTTGGATAAATGTCAATAATACATTTTGACAGCGTTTAGCACAGTGGATGATATATAAGTAGCATCCACTTTAAAGTAGCCATACACTTTAAACACTTCAACAACATATATTAACTTATTGTGATTTTGCACACGTACCGTAATGACCATGTCACCAACACTATCACAGGTGTTGAGTTTGCGCACAAAGGTTAGGACTGTCCCGGATGCAGTTTCCTTGCCAGCGATGAGGAACCAGTCCTGTGATTGGTCAACTACTGGCGGGGAATGCTCAGTAGTGTGATAGTCCTATGACACAGGCAGACATTACAAACAAATTTAAGCTTACCTAAATATCGAGAATGACGATAGAATGATTGATTAAGATCAAAAAAAAAAAAAAAAAAACAGTTTATCTTGGTTTACTGATTGAAAAAATAAAATTCAGTGACACAATGGCTTCACCTTCAAAAGAATTATTATGGTCATTACTCATGTCATGATTCCAAAAATGTGCGGTTCCTAACAATGATACTGATACCTAACCATTCCAAAGTCTACTTGACAATCACCAAGTCCACATTTCGTTAAAATAGTGATATAAATTTGTATTGTCGCTTTCACAATTGGTGTAATGGTTTATGAAGACACGTTTATTTTTTTATAATATTGTTATAATTCGTGCCCGATCATTGATGTATTTCAATGCAATTAAATATGTTTAAACGAAACTACACGAAGCAACCAATCACGAAGACGTTGTCATAATTGGGTCCTCCTCTTCTCCGCACAAAACACAAAAATAAAAAACGTACCTTGAAGTAGGTCTGACCGTCCTTGACTCCGCCAACGATGACGTCAGCAGGGAACATTTTTCCGTTCGGGGAGATTCCAAAACCAATGTAGCCATGCGTGTTCACGTGTGTCTCAAAGATCACGTGGGTGGTATTGGCGGTCCAAAACAGCCAGAACTGGCCAGTGGTATCGAGCCGGACATAATGCTCAAAATGGCGGGTAGGCGTCGGTTTCGGTATCTTAAAAATGTGATGTATAACAATAACAAAATGCTTTTTTACAATTTGCATTGTTTAAACACAAACAATAAAGTTTCACGTGTAAATACACCAAACAAACACGTACGCCTTTTTATGCATATCCAAGATTAAATGCAATAATTAAAACAATATATCAAATATAAATATGAAAATGTCCCAAATGTTGATCCATGGTTGGGTATAAGAGTTATCTCCCGTATAACATATAACCTGTTTGCTATCGTTACATATTGTCAGCACTTAATCTAAAGGAGCCAATTATTACATTAATCTCGGTTTTGTTTCGGACATTTCATTGTAATAAAAATAAATACAAAAGCTCGTTGTTTCGAACTCCTTGGAACCATCGAAGAAAATTTAAAACGTCGAATCTTCGACTCACAAAGGTTGAACTTCTTTGAGAACTTCTTTATATTGCACAAGAACGTTGTTTATTGGCGGAACACAAGGTAAGACATTTAAATTGAATTATACTAATATTGTTTTTATTAATTGTAATATATATCAATGTTCGTCTAATGATTGTAGTTCGAATGTTAGTAGTGTTTTAGAAAGAAAAAAATCCGGACTTTGCTGAAAGTTGGATATAACGAGAAACTCAAATCTTCGAAGTTCGATATATGGAAGTTTGTGTGTTAGGTGAAGCAATCTCCATTAAAGCTGGTATAGTCACGCTAAATTCCATTTCCTGTAAAACATTTATCTGAATACCACAGTTAAACATAGGGATTCAGATGTATAATTTGAATATATTAATGAAAATAATTAATAATAATTCGAGGTTTTTATATACCGCTTTATCATAGCCTAGTTCGTAGGTCGTCTCGAAGCGGTTCACAATTTTTTATCCGTGGTTACTTTCTGAACTCCCTGGGTAGCATACAGCCGGTGCTTCCATTTCGGCACTCACAGCTAGCATTCAACAATTCTAGCAATGCAGAACCACGTACTCATTTACAGCTGAGTAGACTTGAACAAGATACAACACAGTGCCGTGACGTGACTCGAACCCGCAACCCTAGGCCTTCGGTCACGAGTCGTGCGTCCTACCACTAGACTGCGCTGCCTCCAAGCATATTGAACTTGTTGTACTTGAGCTAATAAAATGATGCCTAACCATCTTATCTATTAGGCATTAAAGTCGATGTCTGAATGAAATTAGTTTATCTGCATTATACCATGACACATGATCGTAGCTGGTGATGGAATGTAAAGCACAAACAAACCAAGGGAAATATTATATAAGTATGACATTCATTAGCAAGTGACAGTGAATATTGACAACCCGAGAAAACCATTGTCACCCGAGGCGAAGCCGAGGGTGACAATGGGTTTTTGAGGGTTGACAATATTCACTGCTTCTGCTTCTGCTTCTGCCATGTAAGTGTCCTCATTCGTCTTGCCGAATATAATGACACTGGTTTGTGCGTGCGCAATAGTACAATTAAAAACATTAAAAAACAAAAATAATAATAATATTAATTAATAATATGAGGAAGAATGCTACTTATAGTAAATATTAAGGAAATTTGAAGGTTGATTATTTAGTGTTTTGTTTGTTTATTTTTTAGAACCAGCTACTCTGTATAAGGAAGAGTTCTTACTCGGTGTTGGTCATGTCAACACTGGCCACCTTTAGGAACCCTTACTGTACAGAAGTGTGCTGTTGTACATGGAACTAAAAATAAATTGCCAATTTAACAAAGGATACAACTGCTCTGTGTTGGGGAAGGATTTTTAATCGGTGTTGGTCATATCAACACTGGCCACCTTTCTGATCCCTTCCCGTACAGGAGTCTACTGATGTACTGCTAATAATTTCTCTAATTTAGAAATAATCACTTAATAAAAATAGGTAAGGTTAAAAACACACATTACTTTACGGTTTTTTTTAAAGTTAAGAATGGCAGATTTGAAGGCCACTAGTGATTTTTTGTAGGCGATATCTGTCGGGAGGCTGTTCAAATCAACTATAGTGCGTGGATAAAAGGACACCTGCTAATGAATGTCATATCTATTTTGTTACACAAAAAGTCTTTAGATAAATATTTATCTTAAAAAAACACCTTCTACACATGTTCGAAGTTTTTCATTGAGTTTCTGCTTCGTATAGTCTTCAAAATTACTACCCTCGCCTAGAAACTCTCTGAATACCCGGCAGCTTCCTTTAACCACCCTCTGAGGTTGTTGTTTTTTTGAGTCCTTGGAGGAAAGAATCTCCTCCATATGTAGCTCAGAAACGGCAGCAAACCTCGATCATTACATCTTGTTTGTTGATAGTCTGCTGTTTACAATCGCTACCGCACCGGCGCTTGATAAAATTGGTTGTTGCCGTCTAACGTTCTTGTGACCTTCACAGTGGGGTAACGAAGCGGTGAAAAATGGCCACTGTGAAGAACCCGGAACGCACATTTTTCGCGCATGTGATCTTTTTCTCTGTCTCATGGCAATATCACCCGCGCCCCTTAAAACCAATGTATTTTCGGAAGGTGACAGAGATTTTTGTTTAATTTTCTCCCAACCAGTCAAATAGCTAGAAATTCACTTGAGGTGTAACAATATAACTTGTCAACCTCTCTAAGGCCCAAATGAATGTAACATGCATGAATTAATTAACATATTACTTAAGTTCATGTATACACCTAGGCCATGTGGAGCTTTATTTCTCTTTGGCTAGCCGTTGAGAAACATACAGGCCTCAAATCAAGATTACTGGTGCCATGCAAAATCACTATATATATAATAAGATTGTGAATCAAAAATCGAATGATAAGTGTTTTAGATTTTCAAATGAACTTAAGATGATAAGTCAATTTATAACTCATGTGCTGCTTTAAAGGGAGTGGACAGGCTATTAACAGGTTATACTATTGATGCTGAAAAAATCCCTAGAACCTCGGAGAATGGTCGAGCTGGACAACGAATATTGAATACGAATTTTGTTTCGTTTAAATAAAACCCAGAATGTAGAATAATTGGTTTTTAATTATTCGCAATGAATGCTTGAAATTTAAATGTGTCATTCATTAATTTAACAGATTTATGTCACAATTGATACAAGAAATTGACCAGATGTCTTCTTTTCTGGAAAGTAAGCAATACTTATATACCGGTTGATATTTACACCTCTGTGTATAATTCTCAAAGAAGCCAAATGATCCGCTTTATTACTGTACCAAGTTTAAGTCACGTGATAGCTTTTGACTTATCACATGTCCCCGAGGACACGTCTATCATCGGTGAAATGTATCCAGCGCTATCACTGAACGGCGAAATCACTAGGAGGTGTACAACAACATTCTTGACTCCGATTAGCTTAGCTCAACGGTTTTGTTTTGGGTGGAAATATTTTTCCAAAAGTCTTTTAATGATACTTGAGATTCTTTGACTCCAGATAGTCTTCTTGAAGAAAATTTGAAACACTTAAGTAGTACAGCATGTACATTTTCAATATTTAAAAAAAATGACATGTACTAGATGAAAATTGACATTTTTCTGTGAGCTGACAAAACTTAAAGAACAGAAACATTTAGATATAAGTTACTTAATAGAACGGTGCTGTAATTTAACGAAGAGATCACTAGTTTACAAGATATTTCACATACAATATTAATTATACTTTTGAACTTAGTTCTTGACTATCATTTCACATTTTTTATTCATTCTAATTTAAAGGCAATGCTTCAAAATTGTAAAATATTTTTTTAAGTGTAGTTAATAGTGAACAGAACATATTTGAATTCATGATTTATGCAAATTTGAAATGAATGTCCAGAATAATTTAATTCACAACAAAACCTAGGGAAATAGTGACTTTCGGCCCTCAAAAGGTATACAGGATCAATAAAATGAAGAACATGTACCATGGGGCCTCTTTAGTGAAAGGCTAATATGGTATACCAATGAAAGGACATTATATTCTTCTTATCACAATATTCTTGGGATGGACTTGCCAGAAGTATCCACAGCGTTATAATGATAATAATAATAATAATTCGAGGTTCTTATATACCGCTTTATCACAACCTAGTTAGTAGGTCGTCTCAAAGCGGTACACAAATTATTATCCGTGGTTATAGGGCCTATACAACCGGCAAATATATTTCTCAACTCCCTGGGGAGCATACAGCCAGAGCTGCCATTTCGCCGCTCACAGCTAGCATTCAACAATTCTAGCACTGCCCAACCACCTACACGTTTATAGCTGAGTAGACTGGAACAAATAGAGTAAAGTATCTTGCTCAAAGATACAACACAGTGCCGTGCCGTGACTCGAACCCGCAACCCTTCGGTCACGAGCCCGGCGTCCTACCATTAAACTACCGTGCCTCCATAATGATATTAATGAGGACTATATCACCTGAGTCATGGCATTCATAGCTGATTTGAATGTCTTCTGATTTTGGTTTGGTACGTGGCAATGTTATGTTAGTGTAGATAATATACTTAGAAAGGTTTTGCTTGGATTTATATATTTTTTCAAATATCTCTATGGGGACAATGTGTTGATGCAGGAACGTATATATTGTATTTGATTTCTATAACAAGATTTATTTTATTTTGTTTAGACATAGTTTAAATGACATTCATATCTGCTATAAATGCAATGGTTCACGTTTTGAAGTCTTCATTGTTATTAGCTACCACTAACCCGCCCTTGAAGATGGCTCTTAATAATCAAACAAGCATACAACACACATTTACGTATAAAAACGTGTTGACAAATTATAAAAATATAATTGATTAGAGAGTATTTATGAGATTCGAATTTTGATAAGATGGTTTTTATGATTATGAACAGCTTTTAGTTGTCGTTCAGAACTAATATGAATGCCAGCTGGAAATTGTTTGTATCGCTCTTCATGGAATTTGTCATGCTCCACTGGCCATTCACTACAGATACTTACGGATCGTACTGCAGTGCTAAAATAAAAACCAAATAAAATCGGTCTTAAAAGTGTCAAAAATGTTTACAAAACAGTTATTACATGTTTAACCATTACCTGGACAGGGCCCTTGCTTCTGACCTGCCCGTCTTTAATCAGTTGAGAAATATGGTCAACCGAATCCGTTGCATGCGCCAAGCAGACGGCTAACAATCCGGCCAAAACTGTTAGTTTTAGAGTGGCCATCTTTCCTCTCCTTCTCCTATCTAACTGGTGCCTTCTAAAACAAGCATAAGGTTTTAAAACATTTCGAAGTCATTATGTTTTATCAGTCCGTATAGCGAAGAGGGAGATATGTTAAGCTATGACGCGACAGTAGCACGGATGGAATTGGGCAAACATTTACAGAGGTACAGGTAAACCCTTTATTTACATAAGATATGTATTTTAAATGTTCTGGATAAAAGTCAAGGTGAGCATGTAACAGCTTTGTTATAACAAACTACGTATGAACAACCAGCTAATTCCAATTCTTCCTCATATGTCTCTGTAAAACTTTATTACATAGTGTACAAATGTACATAACTGTAAATCAATCAGTTTGATATAAAATGTTTCTAAAATATTCACTTAAAGATATGGACATAGTGATCTAAAGGATTTGATGGGAAATACCATGAAGGTTCGGAACGCCTACCACTTTCGTTGCATGAAGGTGTATCATGAATTGTGTTCTGTTGTCTTTTGTTTTATTTCCATATTTTCTTTGTTGGTATCGTTCGTTTCCTATCGATTGTGCATCTATTGTGTTGACGTTTTGTTTTTTGGTTATATTCTTTTAATTAGTAATGCTGTTTTGATATTGGAATATATTTTTTTATTTTGTGCAGAGATTTTGTTATTTGGTTATAAACTTGTTAGTTTGTGGTGATGTTGTTTTTTTTTGGTTATATTCTATTTATTTTGTACAAATGTTTTGCTGTTTTGTAATATTCGTTTTAAATATTAACTGAAAGAATTATCACCAGTATACTGTAACAGAAAACTAACTTTTCAATGCCTGTATACAGCGGAAAAGTGATGAGATACTCAACCTCAACACGATGTCAAAAACATACTTTGAGAATAAGAAAATGAAGAAAACACTCAAATTCCCTGAAAGTGGTCAAGATATATAGCCCGATTTCATATAACGTCATAATGTGATCATATCTTCCATATACAATGTTTAGTACTGGGTATGATTCCACTCGACAAATCACACCAGTAAAACAATTTAATCATTCATCCTCCATCCCAGCTCCCCAAAACAATAGTAAGAGTAATAGGACATCAATTCTTATTCTATTTTTATTCGTATCGCCTAAGACAAGACAAAGCACCCTCCGATGATCCAGGCTAACCTGGGTGTTTACAGGATTCGATAATCTCAAGACACACGGTCATGTCACATGACAGAGTGTGTGACCTCTGTTATGTGTTTGTATAATCTATTCGGAACGCTGGTGTTAAGGAGATTCCGCAATCACCAGATACACAGTCACTTCACATGACAGTGTTATCTTTGATATTTTAAGAAGTTTAAAGGATCACATGAGTACCTTTGGTAAGTTGAGTAGAGAGCAAGGCATTTATTCACAGGACTTGCTGAAAAATTGATAAAAGTTACAGACAGGGACCCCTTTTAATTCGTCGTTTTTTTCTCAAACAAAATTGGCAGAACGTTTTTTATTATTTAATTCAAGGCTACCTTTTTAGCTTCCTCGAACAAGTTATATATAATAGTTTGTCATCATATTTACTATCAATATTTGTATAGATCTATTGAAGTAAAGATCCATCAATGTTTGTCCAATGAGGTCACGTGTATATATCATATCAAGGGTTGTTTTTTACCCAGCTACTAAAACGCTAAATTTTTCCAAAGTATTCTGTAATGTACATCGGTAAACATCCCGGTTTGTTAAACATGATGATTACCCTACGAAACCATATACATTAGCGAAGTATCACTCTACTTAACGCATGTTGCGGATGCTGAAGATGACTTACATATTACGATCGAGCGACTTTGTTTGGAAAAACTGTCATTCATAGCGTACTAGCCCGTGTGCACCTATTAAAATATTCATGTATTGGCGTAAAAACAATTCATTTTTACTTGTCTGGGTTCCTATAATGACGAAAATGATTAAACTTTTAAAAAAATATATCGTTTTAACTAAATATGTTTGTCATAACTTTCCAGGGTAATATTCTTGTATGCGATTGAGCTATTGCCTAATGCTTTGTCTTAGAATGATTCCGACACATCGGGGTCGAAGCTGTCATCCATTTAAAATGCATACAAAAGAGCTCTATGTCAAAAATAATATTATCTGTGCATTAGTCATCCTATATTTGTTTAAGTTTACACATCAAAGGTTCACCACGTTCATATGCTGTACACAGGCTCACGTTATACACACCACGTGGTCATTTGACCTGACAGGAGACAGCATAACCCATTCGGCAAAAGTTATCCCGTCAAGAGCACCCTTTATCCATTATTGAAAAAAAATATCTCTTTAGACGTTCTGTAAATGTTCTCAAGACTGAAGAAAACTGAGAGTCATAACCTTTGATTTGTGCCTAAAGGCGAAACATTTATAAATATCATTTGGTTTGTTTTGTTTGTGTTTTACGTCCTATTAACAGCTATGTTCGTGTTTGGACGTGCCAGGTTTTGGAAGTGGAGGAATGCCGGAGTTACCGGGGAAATGCATGTACCACCGACCTACGGCAAGTACATGTACCTGGCGACTGCCCCACATAGACCTCGAACTCGCGACCCAGTGGTAGATGGCTGATGGTAGCAGAATGTCAGACGCTTTACCACTTTGCCACCGCGGCCAATGAATGCTCGCAAGCAGGTGTCAAGTTGCAGCCGATTATTCCGATTTTGATTTGAAAAGTATTATTGTTTTATCACTGCCACCTCATATACTGTGTCACATCATTATAAGGTTGTCTAAAATTACATTCTTACATTAAAACATACAGAAAAAAAGTAAAAATGTCTATTTTGTATACTGATCTAACGGGCACGCCATGCCGAAAAAAAGTAATGGTGTTAATTCAACACTGAATATTTTGGAACTCTTAAATGATAACTGGGGATGTCAAATGTGATAGAAAGAATAAACATTTTACTATTGAAAATTGTATATCTGTCTATTTCGATAAGCTAATATTGGCAGGCTCAAAAATATACCGTCTTCAATGTTACCATACATACTTTGACAGCCTGTTGTCGCTATGATTGATGATATACAGATGGGATGAAAAGGGGGATGTTTTTTTGACAAATTCGCCGTGTTGCGGGCGTTTTTTCGAAAATTGAATCAATATTTGGTTTAGCTCGATGTTACCAATCATTACAAACTATCTAAAATAGCTCAAAAGAGTACGTAAAACTCCTAATACATAAACAAAGGTAAACTAACCGAAAATAATCAGTGTTTAAATTTTAAGGACACATCAAATACCGTAAACAATGTCGTTTCAACTGTAAATGTATAAATGTAAGAGCAAAAGATTATTCTTGAAAACAGTTGTTTAAATAAACTTGTATTTTTCATTGTCTCTGTTACTTTTATAAGAACACTTCACTCACCCTTTCCATGCTTGCAAAGATTGACTTTGCATTATTGTGCCTGCTTTAGTTCATTGTTTAGGGAGACCCACTGTGTTATATAATTAAATCATTATATAATCCTGCTAAGTCATCTATTGATATATTAAAAATAATTTAAACATTGAACTGTTTTTGTAAGGCATTTTTTTTATATATTTGAATGACACGACTTTGCAAGCAAACACCATAATGCGCGCTAGCTGTGCCAAATGAGTGTCATAATGAACAACTTTCATAAAGAGTAAAAATAAAAGTTTAATTATTTTTCATGACAGATGCTTTATTTATCTGTAACTATATGTACAAAATGTTTTCCTCGTCGACGAAGTCAAACACAGAGGTAGTCATACTGATCTATGTCAAATGTGTACACATATGTATGGATGCCGAAGCTACTGACACATGTATTTTGAACGATGAGAAATGTACTATTCAACACTTCCGTCCACACAAAGTCATTTACGGTAATGTGATGTCAGTTCCGTCTACTGTCGCCGCCTTAATCACTTCCGGCCAAGAAAAGCCAGGCCAGGAACAGAACCAGCAAAGTTCTGACAGCTAGTATCCTGTGGTTTGACATAAGGATAGTTTGTTGCATGTTCCGTTGTCTGCACGTTAGCCTGTAATAAAAACATTATCCTCAGCATGATTACACGTGTAAAGCATACTCTATTCCAAATTGTGAATGTCACTATTAATATTTTTGAACAAATAAAATCACGGCTATGCGTATGAGGGATACACGCTTCTGATAAACAATCTTTCCAATTATGAATTCCAATTTTATGAGCTTAAATATTGACCGTTTAGTGTAATGTAAATTGACGATAGCAGAAAACCTGTACCAAATGACAGTCGTCACTGTCACATACTTTTGTTGTGAAAACATCAAAGAAATTAAAGGTTTCGCTATTTCAAACGGGACTTTTCACTGTTTGTTATTCCATTAGCTTCAGCCAATGCTTACATTGACAGCAGCGGTGTCTCCGGAGGAGAAGTGGTAATGAATGGAGTTGTCTAGCGCTGATTGGAACTTCGTCCTTACTGCCGGATCTGTCCAGTTCCATGATCTCAGGATAGATCTGACGTCGTTAAAGTTGCTAGATATCGTGTTATAGATGGGTAAACTCTGACAGTTATCTAGGTGCATACGAGGGTAGTACGCTATGAACGACAGGCACATTTCCTCGTTTGTGGATAGACCTCCCTATAATGAAAAGGCATGTTAATGACGACCTTTCTACAACAACAACCTGCAATGAAATTTGAATCCAACAAAAATATCTATTACGACATCTGAACACTAACGACAACATGTCTTTTGATCTTAATCATATCAACAATTTGTCATTAACGACATCTTAATCATATCCACAATTTGTCTTTAAGACATATTAATCATATCCACAATTTGTCTATAAGACATATTAATCATATCCACAATTTGTCTTTAAGACATCTTAATCGTATCCACCAACTGTGCATCATATCGACAACTATTTATCGAAATTTCAATCCTAACGACAATTTGTTTTATCTAAATCTTAATCATAACGACAGTCTCTTTTTTCCCATATTTTAATTATGAAGACAATTTGTTTTTTAATGAAATCTAAATCATAATAACAATTTGTCTAAAACGTCACCTACACATAATAATAATGATTGATAAAATCTTTTTTCTAGAGCTCCCTATATAAGTTGCAAAATCACTCTATTAGGCTTTATAACACTTTAATGATAGATAACAAGGCATACAAATCAGTATAATACATTAGGTAACAGGATAGTGTGTACATTACTTCCTCGCAAAACAGCCCAAAAAGCAGACGTACACAGTTTGGTTTTACATACTTCTTGAATTCGGTTTCCTTATAGCAGTAGTAAAAAGTGTCCACAGCGTGGTCGACACCCTTTAAAACCACCGGTTTTCATAGGTCACAGAACGAGATTTTGGGACACGCAAGAAGGAATCTGCCTCCGACTGCAGTGATCGTGACGGCTGATAAAGGATGATAAACTCATTTACATACTAGTGAGCTGCTCCTTTTAGTGCCTTGTACATTGTATGTGTACACCAAAATTTTGTACTGCGACATGTATCGGACAGCTTACCAGTGCAATGAATATAGCGCTGCCGTGATGTTATTTCCTTTCGAGTACGAATAGCCAGACGTGCTTCAGTGTTCTAGACTCACTGTAGACGACTAGTTAGCTTTTTTCAGATATACCACAGAGCAGGGCGTTACCACAGTTCTACGGAGGGGTAACATGTGAATGCACCAAAGTCTTGCCTACATCTACAGTTATAAACTGCCGGATACACCCGATGTTCCTGATCTGGCAGTAACTTGAATTTGCAATAGCGTTCACGTTTTTCTCCATATTAAGTGAACTATCGGAGTATACCTCCAAGAGTTTAACAACTATGACAGTCTCGATAGTTATATCGCCGGCCTTGAGCCATTAAGCTTCTTATTCATTCTGACACCTTTCCTACAAACACCATTAGGCTTTACCTGACGGAGGGCAACATCGATACATATACAGCCGATAGGCTTCTCGTGATATTGGCAACTGCCCTACATTACCATTCGACTCATCCTCATATTTACAAACACCATGAATAGACTATTGTAAGGATCTCTTAAAGACAACAATTATACATTGAAAACCATTAATATACTCATGATAACGACAACGACGCTAAATAGACAATCATCAGGCTCCTTCTTGTCCATTCTGTCAAATGGTTTAATATTTTAATTAAATTGTAATATTATTGACATTTCTGTACAGTTCCATGCAATCTTTTTGATTTAATACTGAAAGTTGGTTAAATAGGCTGTTCTACATCGACATCGATACCAATATAATTTATGATCAATTGATACAGCACCGTCATTCATCTTCCGATATGTATGGCTGCAAGTCGCTACACCGTCCAAAGGAAATAAGGAGATATACTTACCAGTGTAGGTTCTCGTTTGTGTCGAGAATCGTAAACACATTTCACATTGATTTTGTCCATCTGCAAATGAACAAAAACATAGTAACTGTAACCTCACGTACAGAAAATACTGCTACATATTGTAACGAATGGGTAAGAAAAACATATTTATTTTTGACATATGTACCAATAAATCATAATTATTATATAACTGTCATTTTTCCCACACGCTGATTGGTCAAAACACCTTTATAGGTCTAAATATATTGCGACGTTACCCCGAAACCTATAGAATCCGTGCACGCGAGGTGAATATAACAGTCCAAAACCCCGTCGGTCGCCTCACAGGTGAATATTACAATCCAGTAACCTGTGCTGCAATTTTTGACCAATCAGAAGCACGGATTGTCGTTGCCTCACTGGAGAGAAAATGGCAGACGACAGTGTAAACAAACCCGGCTGGTCAATATTTGGAACTGTTTCCGATGACCAACTTAAAACTATCTTGGTGCAAAAGGCTACTAAAACACTGTTAAAGCTACCGACACGTCCGTCTGTGTATTGCGTGAATATTTGAAAGAAAAAGCAATAGACACGGACTTTGTTAACATGCAAGCGCTCGAACACTGCAATGTTCGTCGGAAGTTTTATTTGGAAATGAGTAGGAAAGACGGTGAGAAATATCAACGTAGTTCTCTCTTAAGTATCCGGCATGGTATCAACCGATACCTTTCGAGTGTCGGTTGTAACATGGATATAGTGCATGGCGCTGAATTTACTGAATGCAACAAAGTGTTTGATGCTGCAACGAAACAACTCGAGCATTACCTTCACACGGTACTGTATTTTTACATTGAAAGTTTACTTTCACTGCATATACATATTGTTAAATTAAATAAATACTAAATTTGTTTGATTGAGTTTTCTCCTATTTACTTACATTACGCAGTATATTGTTTTTGATCTTATTAATAGCTCATATAAAGTCATTTTAATTGGACAGAGACACATATTCTGTGTAGGCAGAATTTCATTGCAGGTGCCATAATCATGGCGAAATATGCTAAGTGTGGATTGGTGCTACACATGGTTAAGTTTATAAAAATGTCCTATGATAAATTAACCCTCGAAGGTTAATAAATCCTCGTATTCACATGAAAATAGGTCAATAATTGTATATTATACTACTGCCAGTCGCTCTAAGTTGCTTTATTTTGGAAATAGAAACCAGAATCTCTAACTTGCATCATGACATATTATAACATTACACAATTATGGCAGCGGGCTAACCACATCTGTCTACAAAGATAATAACCACGTTATTATAAATGCGAGCACCAACCACAGATGTCTACAGAGATAATAACCACGTTATTATAAATGCGAGCCCCAACCACAGATGTCTACAGAGATAATAACCACGGTATTATAATTGCAAGATACAACCAGTGATGTCTACAGAGATGAAAACCCTGTTATTATAAATGCGAGCTACAACCAGTGATTTCTACAGAGATAATAACCACGTTATTATCAATGCGAGCTAAAACCAGTGATGTCTACAGAGATAATAACAACGTTATTATCAATGCGAGCTATAACCACAGATTTCTACAGAGATAATAACCCCGTTATTATCAATGCGAGCTACAACCACAGATGTCTACAGAAATAATACCCACGTTATTATCAATGCGAGCTATAACCACAGATTTCTACAGAGATAATAACCACGTTATCATAAATGCGAGCTACAACCAGTGATTTCTACAGAGATAAGAACCACGTTATTATCAATGCGAGCTACAACAAGTGATGTCTACAGAGATAATAACCACGGTATTATAATTGCAAGATACAACCAGTGATGTCTACAGAGATAATAACCACGTTATTATAAATGCGAGCTACAACCACAGATGTCTACAGAAATAATAACCACGTTATTATCAATGCGAGCTATAACCACAGATTTCTACAGAGATAATAACCACGTTATTATCAATGCGAGCTACAACAAGTGATGTCTACAGAGATAATAACCACGTTATTATAATTGCAAGATACAACCAGTGATGTCTAAAGAGATGAAAACCCTGTTATTATAAATGCGAGCTACAACCACAGATTTCTACAGAGATAATAACCATGTTATTATCAATGCGAGCTACAACCAGTGATGTCTACAGAGATAATAACCGCGTTATTATCAATGCGAGCTACAACCACAGATTTCTACAGAGATAATAACCACGTTATTATCAATGCGAGCTACAACCACAGATTTCTACAAAGATAATAACGACGTTATTATAAATGCGAGCTACAACCAGTGATGTCTACAGAGATGAAAACCCTGTTATTATAAATGCGAGCTACAACCACAGATGTCTACAGAGATAATAACCCTGTTGTTATAAATGCGAGCTACAACCAGTGATGACTACAGAGATAATTACCACGTTATTATAAATGCGAGCTACAACCAGTGATGTCTACAGAGATGAAAACCCTGTTATTATAAATGCGAGCTACAACCAGTGATGTTTACAGAGATAATAACCACGTTATTATAAATGCGAGCTACAACCAGTAATGTCTACAGAGATAATAACCCTGTTATTATAAATGCGAGCTACAACCAGTGATTTTTACAGAGATAATAACCACGTTATTATAAATGCGAGCTACAACCAGTGATGTCTAAAGAGATAATAACCCTGTTATTATAAATGCGAGCTACAACCATTGATGTTTACAGAGATAATAACCCTGTTATTATAAATGCGAGCTACAACCAGTGATGTCTTCAGAGATAATAACCGCGTTATTATAAATGCGAGCTACAACCAGTGATGTCTTCAGAGATAATAACCGCGTTATTATAAATGCGAGCTACAACCAGTGATGACTACAGAGATAATAACCACGTTATTATAAATGAGAGCTACAACCATTGATGTCTACAGAGATAATAACCACGTTATTATAAATGCGAGCTACAACCATTGATGTCTACAGAGATAATAACCACGTTATTATAAATGCGGGCTACAACCAGTGATGTCTACAGAGATAATAACGACGTTATTATAAATGCTAGCTACAACCAGTGATGTCTACAGAGATAATAACCACGTTATTATAAATGCGAGCTACAACCAGTGATGACTACAGAGATAATAACCACGTTATTATAAATGCGAGCTACAACCATTGATGTCTACAGAGATAATAACCACGTTATCATAAATGCGAGCTACAACCAGTGATGTCTATAGAAATGATTACCACGTTATTATAAATGCGAGCTACAACCAGTGATGTCTACAGAGATAATAACCCCGTTATTATAAATGCGAGCTACAACCAGTGATGTCTACAGAGATAATAACGACGTTATTATAAATGCGAGCTACAACCACAGATGTCTAGAGAGACAGCAAGTTACACAATAATGGTTTTCTCAATGGTCTCTGATAAATCGACAGAGAGGCGTCGACGTAAATTGTTCTACAAAGATGGCATGGAATAGTGGAACTATCGATCTTCTCCTTTTTTTTGATACATACAGGATATACTTTTTTCTCTTTTGACAAGTAGCGCATGTCTTGGAAATTGAAATCGTAATGTGTATCGGCAGCCAGTGGTTCGAGTTCTCTCCCATTCCGGAAGTGACGTGTTATCATTTTTTTTCCCAGAAGATGGGAGTGTTGTACCATAGCAAACACGTTGATACCTTCTTTTGGTACACCCTGCAAACAAAAAAGCGATCCCTTTTTGAATATTTTCCGAGATTTATTATGTATTGCAATTATTTCACCTGAAAAATCAACACATTGTCAATGTCTAATTCCAAGCATTAAGGAAGAAATGCATATCTTTTTTAACTGATTATAGATGATAGCCAAAGGACTTTGACTAAATATCATATACATATAATTATGCTGGTTTCAAAAATTACAACAACAATATAATTTTATCAATTTTAGATGTTATGGCAAAATAATTATTTCATAAATTATCTAGATAAATGACGTCTTGTTACATGTACCTTCCCGAGAAGTTCCGAAGGACAGAATCCTTCGGAGACGAAGGAGGGTTCCATAGGGGGTACAAGTTGTAGTGGTGAAACACCCAATCCGATCTGTAGGAGTCCGGCATCGTGTGTACGGAGCGTCGGTGTCATGGTGATCCTGATTCCGGAGCTGTCTATAATATCTAGGGAATGGATCAAAATATACGTGTTAGGTTCGGGTATACTACATTTTCCAAATAATTCTTAGGGTTTCTTCACAGATTCACACATAGCACATGAAGACTATAACATTAATTTCAAATTCATTTTCTAGAAATTATTTATTTCCGTGAGTTTTGAAATTTAGACTCTTGTCTTGTTTCATTATCCCTAAAGCCTTTTAAAACATTTTTTGACAATTTGCTTTCATTAGTGTAAGTGATTTGATCCACTTCAATACCTTTTTGTCTTTATTCACATTTTCCAATATTAACAATATTCGAAATTACATTCAAAATATTTTATGAATGCAAATGAATGCTGAAATTGAGATTTTTCTTTTATGTTAAAGATCATGATGAACCTGGTTGTATGTTATTTTGAATAAGCCTTCTTTATAATATTCAGATATGCTCTTGAAATTAAGAAATTCAATAAAAAATGTTAGTTCTCGAAATGTCGAAGTATATAATTGACGTTGCCTGTTTAATTTGAGAAATAGCTGCCTTATATTCTCTCTATAAATAAAAAATAAAAAATGCAACCAAAATAGAACATTTAATTATATGGAGCTGTAATTCATTTTCTATCTAGGTATATTGTGACGTCAACTACCTGATTTAGCCAGTGGGTTATCGAAGTGTGTCTCCATGACAAAGAAGTCGGGGTCAGCATCCGTCCCGAGGGAGTACCCGGCGGTAGGGGGATAATAGAACGTCTGCCAATAAAAAATAAGAACAGGCACTAACATTTAAGATAAAATACAAACATATTTCTTAAAATAACATTCATAAGTTTAGTATGAGTATGAAGGCTAAATTTGCTTTAAACACAAACAGGAATAGAAAACGTATCTTGCAAGCTTTCGATAACGCTGTTTCATTTGTCAAGCAAGTGTGTAAATGACTGATGTCTGGACCCTAAACTGCTGTAAACAATTCACTAGGCTACAGTGTGTCTAATCAGTAAAGTCGGCTGTCAAAAATCATAGCAACTTATCGCCCAATAGCAATCCGACTTTCTATGACTTTGTAGGTAACAGAATAGACCAATCAACCTGGAAGTTTCTCGATCAGATATTGTGTTGTCCAGGTGTACCTCATATTTGGGCACATTAATTGATGTTTTGGACATTTTGGTAGCGATTTGGAGAGGTCTACGGAGGAGAGTAACCTAATTAGAGTACTTCACTTATGAAATCCAATTAATTCATCCCCAAAAACCGATCCATGTAGAAGGTGTTTTGATAATTTAGCACTTTTGCTCATATGATTGAACTGCATATGTATACCTTAGCATACAATATTCGATGTCATCTATCATCCAAATCTCTCTCCGCTTAAGATATTCCATGTTTTGTATGATGACCCAGCCAACCCCAATCTTAACCCCTTTTTAAGTCCACTATGCTTTAGTAGAAATTTTGTTCACCAGATACCAAGGAGATACGTACCTCTCCCCCAATGGCCCACGCCAATATCACCTTGCTGAGGCACCCACGAAGGGGTTCCGGTACAGTCTCACCTTTTTCACACCGGAAGTGGGCGCCGTCATAGGAGGCCAATTCCGCAGCACGCTTATCGCATTTAAATATGAGTATGTGGTGAACGTTCAGCTCATTTCCAGGTGTAACTATTGGTTCGAACTGAAGGTTAAAATAGGACATAACAAATAATATTAACGTATACACTAATCGCTTTTACAAGTTTCATGAACACAAGTGCTAAAAATTTTAAATATAAAGTTCAGTTCTATACCTTAAATATATTTAATTATTTCTTAACATTGGAAGTGTGCTGAGCTCTTTACGTACACGAAACCTTAAATCGTACACCTGGTTAAAATTTGCTACTTATCATAGCAATCTCCTTATTCGTAATCGACACAGTAAATCACATTAATACCTTGATCATGTGGTGCTTCTTGGTCATTTGTGGCAACTTGAAGGCTCGACAAAAATAAGTCGTGGTGTCGGACGGAAGGTGGTACTGAGTAGTGACAGAAAAATAATCAGTTTGAACTTTTCGTAAAAAAGAAAGACAATCAACGTCGTCTACAGTAATTGTACCGTATGATATAAAAATGTTACATCTAATACACAAAACTAAACAAAAAAGTGTACTATAATCAAACAAGAAAAAACGCAATGGTCCAGTTACACAAGATAATGTGGCGTCAATCAAGTATTTTTCTGTTCCCATTTCAACATTATTATGAGGTGAGGTCGAATACCTGTGGAAATTGACAAAAAGCTTCGAATCCTGTTTAATATAAGGATTATTTTTGGTAAATCATGATTATTTATTGCAGACTCATGATGTCCTTTGTAGGCTAATGACGTTACATCAAAACCGACTGTCATTAACATTGCCCTCGGAGAAAGTACCCATCTTCATCTTTCAAAAGTGCCTTACTGTGTCCTGTGGAAACTGGTGTTTCGAAAGGCAACTAGCACATTGTGGAATATTTGACATTGGCTAACAAATCAGACGCCCTTAAGTAGGTCGTTGCAATTCACCTGTTCTCAGCTACATTTGGAACTTTCCAATTCAGTCAAATTTTAATGAAAGATTTGCTGTGTTTGCTTTATGTAAACTGATTAATCAATAGGCCTTCATCAAATACTACCTTAAAGTGAGCACATTTATGATAGTGAACCATCTTTAAAAAAAACTTTGGCATGACTAATAATTCCTTACATTGAAGGAAAAACATTAAATACAGACTATAAGATGAAGATGAACAAATGACAAAGAAAAAACCTCTGACGAGAACAGAACAACTGTTAATAGTAATTATAATAGTACGCAGCATTTATATAGCGTCCTATATAACTTGTAAAATTACTCTAAGTCGCTTTACATCACACGAATAATAGTATTTTTACAGTGACAGTTATAGATATAGGTGATATAAAATCAGCATTAATATATTAAGTAAGAAGACAATAATCTCAATAAGCATATATTAATAAATATGTAAAGGGTGGTGTGTACATGATGTCTGTGCAATGAGTCTAAAAACTGACGTGAAGAAGTGGTTCTTTATATCCTTATTGTGTTTAGTCAATTGTTTTTTTAACTTTCTGATAGCAGATGATAAGCTATTTAAAAAAATGGCCGGAAACCTCACAAAGCGCCGGTTTCCATAGGTCACAGTACTAGATGTTTGGACACTCGACAATGATTATGTCTCCCAACGCAGTGATCGTGACGGCTGATACAGGGTAACAAGCTCCTGTAAATACTAGGAAGCAGTTTATGCCGTGCCTTGTGTGTTTACACCTAAAATTTGTACTGCAACCTGTATAGATTATTTAATACAAATACCGACACTAATGTGCGCAGTTAAGAAGCAAGCTTACGTTGTCGTGAAGAAAGTCGTAAGTGATTGTGTCGGAGGGGATATGGACATCGTCAGCTGTCAAGGTCGAAGACAACAGCAGGACGCTCTTTGTTCCCCGCCTGGTGGCGCCATGGTAGGGGATATAACTCGTCACGTCTTCCGGATTATAGGAGAAGATAATTCTAGTGGTGTCATCCTGTAAAATATAGTGATGGCATGCTTTTATACAAACACCCGCATACAAAACTGAAACATGTCGTTACAATATATTTGAAATTTCGAACATGTAAATGGCTAAAAAAGAAAATATCTAGAAATCGATTTGGTGTAGCAGGGATAAAACACATACTTTATATGAATTATGACATTAATATTATTAATTACCGGGGATAAGATATATGGGTTTTTTTATAACTGGTGAACGTTTATCTTTATTCAATTGGGATAATATACCTGTTATTTTATATATTTATTATAACATTACATAATTTGCTAACCACCTTTCTATCTTTTTTGGCCATGTCTCATGTAGTAACTAGGATAATAGTTCAATGAAGATATAAAAAAAATCTCTTAATAAATACACGTATAATATACGCATGGTTTTGCACACGTACCGTAATGACCATGTCGCCAACACTATCACATGTGTTGAGTTTGCGCACAAAGGTGAGGATTGTCCCGGATGCAGTTTCCTTGCCAGCGATAAGGAACCAGTCTTGTGATTGGTCAACTACTGGTGGAGCATGCTGGGTAGTGTGATAGTCCTGTGAAACAGACAAAATTTGAATTTATAATCCAGTATAAATCAAAACAGATGATGTAACTATCTAAAGGAAGACAGATGAAAACCGAATAAAAAATACTTGATTTAATTATATGTATTCGAATTGATTTAAATTGTTTAATTTTTTCCCCATTTTAAATGATTAAATTCTGTGTACAACAAAAATGCTTCCTAATTACAAATTCAAGTGGATAATTTCGATTTGTTTTCACTCCTGACCTTGCTTGTAACTACATATTATTTGTAACATTGCAGTCTAATCGTTCTGATATCATTTTCCCCCAATATTCACAGAACTAATTGTATCTCCTAACTTTTTTTTACTGTTCATCGTTACTCTTTTAGTCCTTAGGACATGATTCTCTATCACCCCTTTTGGAAATGTATTCAAAAGGTATTCTCTGGGATTGTTTATGTCCCGTAAACAAACTTTTGCTCCGTTTCTTATTTTTTTGATTTATTTTTATTATTATTATTATTCTTATTTCTTCCACTTTCTTCCGCCGACGAGTTTTCCGAAATGTTTTTCGAAAACCGTAAGGCGGAATTCAACGAAACTGTTCATGAGTGTTCGTGTATGACAGGCGGTGCGCAAGAGTATTTTCGTTTTTCGATCGGTAATCCGACTGGTCAGCCGGACGGTGGCCTCTGATTGGTCGAAATTTAAATATTGTCCGATTTCGATCAAATTTGATATGTAGGTGAATCATGGGACAACGATCATTCAACCCCCATTTCCTGTTCTGTGATTGGTCAAAACTTAAATATTGTCAAATTTTGATCAAATTTGATCACTCGGCCCCCATTTCCTGGCCTCTGATTGGTCGAATTTTAAATATTGTCCAAATTTGATCAAAATTAGTATGTAGGTGAATCATAGGACAATGATCACTTCCGTAGTTTAGATTTCACATTTCAACAAAATGACCGCCGTTTTTTTCCTCTGATTGGTCAAAATTTAAATACTGTCCGATTTGGATGCAATTTGGTGCATAGGTGTAGTATGGCACTACAAATACAACTGCGGTGTTTGTTTTGTGATTAAACACAATGGCTTCCAATTCATGACCTCTGTTCGATTTTTATGAAAATTGGTACATATGTATATAGGGGTATAAGGGGACTGTGAATAACCCTGCATATAATTTGTTACCATATAGCAACCACACGGAGGCTTCTGCTTGGTCGAAATTTAGTTATTGTTCGATTTTGATGACAATTAGGGGACTGTTAATTCAATCGCACAGGAATCGTTGCCATAGCAACCACACAGACACTTCTGATTGGTTGCGATTCAGATATTATGCGATGTCACTCAAATTTAGTATGTATATTGTAAGTGTATTATGGCATTGCGAACCTTTTCTGATGCATCTTTGCGACTATGGGGGTAGTTTGAGGGACATCAGTAATGGTCCCCTATTACAATTAGTACTTGTTATTATTATTTAGCCACAAGTATCAATCCTCGGATTAAGGTTTCTTTTCCTTTATTCTTAATTTAGAGAGATACATCATTACACCAAGCAATTATAAATATTGTTAAAAAAAGCCATTCTCTTAACTTTCAATCCGCACACACTTTAATATCTCAGAGCTAGAGTATGAAAAATGTACTGTGAGGATCACTAAAAGTGCGTGTCATACATATATGATATTACATATTTTTCAATTCTCTGATCAATGGATAAGACAACGAATAGTAATTTATTATTGCATAAAATAATTTTGATTTCAGTAGGCTTGACAATGTAACACTCCATCCACGGCGATTACATATATGTTTCACAAAATTACACTTTAACACTTATATGAGATGTTCCTGTCTCCCTCATACCTAATTGTGCACGTAATAGCCAATGGTGAAGGTGTTGTCATCATTGGTCTAATCTAGTCTGCACATAAAAGACATTATAGGCATACCTTGAAGTAGGTTTGACCATCCTTGACTCCGCCCACGATGACGTCAGCAGGGAACATCTTTCCATTCGGGGAGATTCCAAAACCAATGTACCCATGCGTGTTCACGTGTGTCTCAAAGGTCACGTGGGTGGCATTGGTGCTCCAAAATAGCCAGTAGTTACCCTCGGTATCAAGTTGTACATAATGCTCAAAATGTCGAGTTGGCGTCGGCTTTGATATCTGTAAGATTTGATTGAATTAATACAAACAAAATAAATGTATTATTTCTGAAAGCTATAATGAATAAAAATGCGAATAAGTGCTAAATTGTCACCTCATGTCTATATGTGGTTTGAATTGTGAGGTATAATGATTAAATATACGACATTTTATATAGTGCCACATCTAGCTAGAATTAGCCACACTAAAGCGCTTTACAGTACATACATGTAGATATACAATTTATACAATCAATACAACTAGCATATACATTAATTAATACAATCTTGTGGAATTCGCAGGAGCTGCCTAATCAGGCGATAACTACTAGTCATATGCCACCTGGCTGATATATTCCTATGTGTGTATGCCTGCGTGTGTGCTGGAGATGTATTGTGTTTTGTTTGTTGTGGGACTGTGCTTCCAAAGGTATCATTTGTAGTGCCACCTCACTTAATTGCTACAGCACAAATACCGCAGACCATTTTATACACTTCCGAGGTTGTTGGAGTTGTGTGGGCACTTTTTCTGACTATTCAATGCGTACAGCGACTTCATTTGCTGATGATTCACAACAAGCTGTGTGTTATCAGTGTATGGATTGCAGTACCTTTTATAGTGCGTGAATGCAAAATGTCTATGGATCGTTCGATAGTTATGTTGTTGACTATTGAAGATATTGATACGCTAAACACACATTTTTATTTTACAGCTTAATTAGTACTATCTTACGCCCATTATGAAACAACTGACATTTAAACAATATGAGGACGTAACATTACCGGCATTTACCTAAAGTTGACATGACAGGTTTCATCACTGGAACAGAAGACGCTTATCCGTTCGGAACATCTGGTCGTATTCTCCTTGTTCTTTTGTCAAGTGTCCATATTTAAATATCTCCATGGTTTTAATTTCGCCCTAGCTTCATTGATGTTGGGTTCTAATCACGTTTTTGTCTGGTATTTTCTTATTACATTTTTTTCTCGAATACTTGGACATAAAAATGAAGTGTGGAATAATAGATTATTAAGTTTGCATACTGTTTGTTGACGTAGATGTATTTTTGTTAATTTTTATGTAATATTATAATAGGTATTATAATATGAAAGACGTCAGAAGTCTTCTTCATGTCAAGTTGAAGTAGAGAACTAGCAAAACAAGGAGCAGATACAAAAATAACCGATTTGCTGAAAGAAATGAGAAATACATCCATTAATAAACAGTCAAAAAACGTATAATGATTCTCACCTGAACAGAACTTGTACTTCTAACCTCCCGCTCCTTAATCAGCTGGGCAAGCCTGACATCGTCAACGACATCTGTCGAGTGCACCAGACAGAACGTCAGCAATCCTGCAAAAACAGTCAGTTTAAACGTGGCCATTTCCATTCGTCCTCTTTTCGGACTGGTGACTTTTCAAACTAGTACGGGGTTAAAATCTGTTATATAACGCCTGACTGGTATTTCACAACTGCTATCTTTAAACTGTGTAAACATTGTGAAATAAGACTCCCGTTACTTGGTAGGGTGATAGAGGAACGGTAGGATATTGCTAACATTGACAAACATTTAGGAAAAAGATTTTATTTAACATAAAAAAATTTAACAACTGTTATTGGTCCCCGATCAGATTTCCATAGGGCTATACCTGTTTTATTTTCTTCATGATTGTTTTTTCTATATGTTCACTGATGTACAGTTTTCTTGTCAACCCTTGAATTCCTGTTAGACGTTAAACTGTCGTTACCAATGAATACGTGTTAATAGTATTGATGCAATATCACAGGGTTTTAAGATACATTTATATTAATAAACTCATAGAAGGCCTATACGAAACAGGACACAGGAAACACTAACCATTACGGGATTCATCATTTGTATGATTTGTTATGTTACTTTATCATTAAAATCCAATAAAGTTCTTTGGTATTAAAGCTCTTATATTTTTTTTATTTTTTTTTATTTACATTCAAGGTGGCGTTGTCCATTTTTTCGACATTGTCTCTACTGATATTCTACTGAATAAGCGTTTATTATTGAAAACAAGCATCTCTCAATAAAAAAAATCTTTTATTGAATCAGACAAAAATCGAACAAAAACTAGGTGTTTTCGACCTCTTCTGCATCACATGTGTGACGATATCAGACGTAAATCATTTGTTGAAGGGATACTCTAGATGTCTATTAAGTGATTTCCTAGCAAGGAGCCGAAAATGACAATACGAAGAGAGTAACACTGCGCAGTATCAGAATATGTCCAATTTTACTTCAATGATTTGACTATGTCCTTCATTATTTCCAAAACCAACTGCGTGGGTAGTTTTGATAAGTACTGTTAAATATTCGGCCCCCGTTACAAATAGCCTTGTAATTATTGCTGTTTTGATTAATCGCTCTTCGTGGTTTTTGATACTGGGAAACTATTAATATTTTTGCATAGCAGTAGTTTTAATAATTATCTCATCCCCAATTTTGAAGTTAGAGTTAGGGTTTCAAGGGTGTAACAAATGGAACATTTCTCTACACCTACTTTGCGGTTTATCTTATCAGCCTTGGGTGGTAATCCCTGGTAACTTAGATATCACGAGGGAATGACCTCTGTAATAAAGTAGCAGTCTAGCAACAGTGGTGTTTAGGAGTTATTCAGTCTTCCTACAGCCGGACACGGTACGTACTCATGTTTATCTAGCGTATATTACGAAATGCTGATAATTCTTTGAGTATATATTAAACCAGACTCTCTTTATTTTGCCAAAATTATGCAACAAGTTCTATCATTTTTTGTTTGCTCAGATATTAGCACGCAGATAGTCGTAGCTGCAGGAATTCGGAGTACACAGAGAAAAGTATTATGGTCACGCTGAATATATTTAAGTTACCCTAAGTTTTTTAACTGTTCGAGGCCCGATGTATGCTTTCTCTAAGTAAAGAACAATATATCATTTACATTTAAGACATTGTTATCTACATTAATTTAGAGCGGGTCAATATGCTTATGTAGGAAGTATTGAAATACATGTAAATGTAATCTGGATTAAAACTACCGTTTTGTTAATTATTTTACCAGTGTTATTTCTTATTGATTTGTGTCTTCCCCAAAATTTTATTAGAAAGATTTGATCTTTGAAGCAAACTAATCTAAAGTTATCTTCCTTCATTCAATATATTTGTAACAATCCAATTTTAATGTTTCCCTGACGAATGTGCATGAAACTTACATATCTAATTTTAACTGTAATAGATTCCTAGAGATGGTAGAATCTAAGTCAGTACCGGAACTGGACACACAAAGCGCTTTAGTGTAATATGTACAAAATGAGTTCCCGTAAAAAAACTACTTTCGGCCAGTCCCTGTCGAATGCCCCACGTAGGCCTCGAACCTGCGACCCAGTGGCCGAAGGCTAGTGGTAGCCGAATGTCAGACGCCTTAACCAATTTGCCATCTCTTACCCTGTTCACCCACTTTGTATCATATACACAATGTAATATTAACGTTATAGGTTGAATTCAGGGTTGACGTGACGTTAATGGATTGTTGACGTGGCGTCATTGTAGTGTTGACGTGACGTTATACCATTGTTATGGAAAGGAAAATCCTGCCGCCTAAACCCTAGGCTGAGATAAGGATATCCCCAACTAGTAAAATTGTGGATACACTTCCCCAGTAGTCCATCCCACATAGGTTCATAAGTAACCGCAGTTCGGAAACCTTATTTTTCTTTTTACTAGGAAGAACATACTATACTATTTCAGTTGAAATGTTCAGTATTTCATAGACTAACATTCTAAAAGGTAACGTCATTTACATCAATGTTAAATCATTATTATCAATGCATCATCATCAGCATCATCAGCATCATCATCATCATCATCATCATCATCATCATCATCATCATCATCATCATCATCATCATCATCATCAACAACATCAATGTAAAATCATCATTATCAATGCATCATCATCATCATCATCATCATCATCATCATCATCATCATCAACATCAATGTAAAATCATTATTATCAATGCATATTCATCATCATCATCATCATCATCATCATCATCATCATCATCATCATTATCTTCATCAACATCATCATTATCACCATTAGATGCAACCTCAGTAATCATCAATACACCAATCATCCTCATCGTCAATACATCTTCATCACCACTAATACCAAATCATCAATGTGTCATCAATGTATCATTTAATCTTTTAGATAGGAAACACCGACAACGATAATCATGTGTCAATGAGCACAGTCTCATTTAACTAATGCGGGGAAAACATGTAAAAGCTTGCTAATGTTAATACTATCAAGCGACGTTTTTCAGCTTTTAGATTAAGACAAAGTGAACAAAGCCATGTCACGTTACGGTGTGTCTAGTGATTGAATAACCTTATAAACACCAGCGTTGCTAGCGTAAAACTTCATATGTACACGCGGTCATACACACGTGATATCTAGGTAACCCGTGATCACAACCAAGGGTGTTTAGTCTTGTCTCTGGACAAGGGGTGAAGGACGAATGATAAATCTGTAAAATGTTAAATTAACAAACAAAAATAAGGGAACAATGCACATTACTGTATATAATAATGATGTGATAACATGTTTATCTGTATGCGGACTACCTTAAAAGGAATTACAAATATTTGCTCTTATTTGTTCAAAGTTGCTTTGTCTTTGTGCTCATATTGAAAGTTTCATCATTTTTCTACTGTATACAGGCATCAGAAACTTTCATTTCATTTTCTATGGTTCTATGCTAATTTCCTTGTACACATGTTAGCATTTAAAACCTTTAAATGCGACTGAAATTATTTATAGTATTGATATCATGACCAGTACTGAAATTGATCATCAAGCAGGAGGAAGATCGAATATTTAAAACAAATAAAACAAAAGCTCAAAAATGACAACACAAAAGAAAAAATTAGGAACGCAGAGTTGATACGAAAAAGAAATCAATTACATAAAACGACAAAAGAACACACGCAAACAATAAGGTGAATCCAAGTGCAATGGAGGTGGTAGGCGTTACCTTAAACAATATCTAGTTAAGGTTTACAGTATGTCCACATCTATAAGTGAATATTTTAGAAATTCATTACAGTTAATTATTAAAACGACGATTGATACAGTTTAAGTATGCACTTTTTTGATATTATGTTGTATATCTAGGTATTAACACTAAATAATAAAGTCTTACAGAAACATTTGGTAGGGTTTTTTTAAAAGTCCATTGTTGAATCTTATTGGTTACAGTTGTATTTATCCGTATTTTGTTTCAAGTTATCAAAGTAATGACAGGCTCACCTTGACATTATTTCTATGTCTGCTCTAAACTGTTTACATGTACCTGTAGCTCTGTAAGTACACCCCTATCTTATCAGTGTAAATATCACGTTCTGTTTTAAAAGTGTTTCCTATTTTGCTATACGGACTGATAAAAACTTCGATTTCGAAATACCTCTCATGTGATTGATGACAGATTTTCACCTGATTACTGTTTTATAAGGCATCAGTTTGGGACGAGGACGAGAAGAGAGATGGCCACATTAAAACTACCAGTTTTGGTCGTATTACTTGCCGTCTGTTTGGTGCATGCGACGGATTCGATTGACCACATTTCTCAGTTGATTAAAGAAAGACAGGCCAGAAGCACAAGGTCTGTTCAGGTTGGTAAAGTTTATTTTCACATATGTTATCATTTTGAATTAAACGTTTTATTTTTTTCATCAATATCTTTTTTATTCTGATTTATTTAAGCATTGAACTTCTTTGAACTGGCATCATGAGCTATATAAATGGTAACTGGTACGTGGTAAAGTCCATAAAGCGCTTAGCTCTTTATGTTACAGTTGGTATTCATATTAATTCTGTTTCCAACTGAAAGCCATTTAATTCTCTTAATTAACATATTTTTAAACATTTTATTTCCGAGATATCAAGCTGCATGCAGTTTAGTTTTATATTTAATACGTGATTGATCGCGTTTGTTTGCATAGTAAATGGAACAGCCATCTTCAAAAGATTGGTTGCAATTATATGACTCACGTGTTTGCGTTATCGTTGCGTAACAATTGTAACGTTGGTTACATGTACCATTGAACCTTCTTTGAAGGTGTGTTATGTATTCATTTAAGAAGTTTACATGATACATAGAATTATCTTACTTAAATGCTGTAATTTGATATACGGTTCATATTTTCTATAACTTCAAAATCTTTCAAAAATGGTAAATATACATATTAAAATTCCTGGCATGAAAAAGAACACTTCCAGTGTATCATGTTATAGTTATCGTACCCAGTATATTGATTATGAATACCAGCTGAAATAAATTATTTAAACAATTATGTCGATGCAGGACCACGACCGGGTAGATTAAAAACGAATTTGGATCTTGCAAAACCTGGACTCGTTGACAAATACTGTCCTTTATTTCAAAAGGATTTGCTATTATGCTCGATATAACGATAAGCAAAACGATTTAGAGTTTCGGATCGTAAAATTACGTTTTCGTGATAGTGACAATTATGCTTCTTCTACCAACGATGTTTGAAAGTCGAAATTGATTCGGTTTTAAAGAGGTTGTTCCGATCATAGATTCGATATATGATGTACAACATTAGAAAACAAGTTTTCTAAAAAAAAATTAGACTAATGAAAACTGTTTGGAAGTTTTACAGTTGCCATCTAGCTCTCGAACATCAATTTAACTGTGTGATTTGATGGTCGATGCAATGCATTTAAGTAGGGTCCCCAAAATGATATACTAAAAGTCCGAAAAAAATCCGTGTAGTGGAAGTGAATCCAAAATGGCCGCCAATTCTACTGTTTTCTCCTAGATTTAGTCAAAATGTTCACCTTACATACCTAGTGTTTCTTTGTGATAACGGTGTCGCTACTCAATTTCTTGATGTGATAAATAGTTGCATGCATAATAACACATATATTATTAACATTAATGATAAGAAAACTATGGTTACAATTTTATAGGGGAGATAACTTAAACTCTAACCACAAATTGACTTAAAATTTATGGTAAAGGTACCTCATTTAGTTTTGATTGGAGTATGTTTTATAACATACTGATTTTAATGCTTATTGTTTAATGAAAAAGCTAACTCATTGTCTGTTTATCAAATAGAGCATGTGAGCACATGGTTTTGGTGTTCTTAATATTATTATGTTTGTGTTAAAGGATATGGAAGCATTTTTATTTGTACTTATTAAATCTAACAGATACCGAAACCGACGCCTACTCGCCATTTTGAACATTATGTCCGGCTGGATACCACTGGCCAGTTCTGGCTGTTTTGGACCGCCAATGCCACCCACGTGACCTTTGAGACACACGTGAACACGCATGGCTACATTGGATTTGGAATCTCCCCGAACGGAAAAATGTTCCCTGCTGACGTCATCGTGGGCGGAGTCAAGGATGGTCAAACCTACTTCAAGGTACACGTATGCCTATAATGATTGTGTTAAGAACGCAGAATGGGTGGAGTCAATGATGACTTATCACCTCTGTCATTTGCTGTACGGTTTATTTAAGGAATAATGGCCGATTTAAGTTGTGATTTAGTGTAATGTTTCAAGGATATAGAGTATCGCGGTCCATGGTGTAACCCATGGACATACTTGCTAAATTGATGTAACAATTAACTGCTGTACCTTTGGGACGTTTGAAATGTGCCTAATTGTGTAAATACCAGGTCGTTTCAAAGGTTATACATGTACCGCAGTAAATCAGAACGTTTTTTCTTAAAAACAAACATTAGGAAGAATAAATTAGGGTAATTGTGTCTTAACTAATAAGCAACGATTTTATATTTTATTGTTTAATTCGTTTATTCTATCGTAGTTCTCGATGTTTTTCGGTAAATGTAAACGTTTGCTTCATAGGACTATCATACTACTGAGCATGCCCCGCCAGTAGTTGACCAATCACAGGACTGGTTCCTCATCGCTGGCAAGGAAACTGCATCCGGGACGGTCCTCACCTTTGTGCGCAAACTCAACACATGTGATACTGTTGGCGACATGGTCATTACGGTACGTGTGCAAAATCACAAGAGCCATTGTTTGTTTGAACCTATAGAGAGGGCACGTGATTGATTTCAATGATATTCATCGATTGTTGCGTAGCACGACTTAACGATATAAATTGAATTTGTCCTAGTAAGTGTTATGCAGTTGAAATTCATATTTAAAAAAAAAGAATCGCATATCCATTTGCAAACGAAAACTGTGTAAACAAATATCATTGCTTGGCCAAATAACGTCAAAATCATCTAATCTAGATTAAAAAATTAGCCAAACTATTTGTGTAGCAATTTAAAAGGCACTTGATTTCCTTTCGTCGTATATCTATATGTAAAATGAACATGTATTTCCGAACGTTTGTCCTTATAAAGAACAAATACGTTCTGCAAAGTCAGAAAATGAAGCAATAAATATCTAGCTTGATTGTATCCATCAACATACTTACTCCTTTAATGGGTCGTTCCATGGCACAGTAAACATATTACAGCTTTCGATTGAATCAGTGAATTGTTTGCAACGCAGGAGTTTTCTTTACGACTACAAGGAAATATCTATTTCATACTTCAAGGGTTAGCCGTTCTATTACTTCGCACATTCACTCGTATCTTATTTTACATTAATATATATCAAAAAAAAAATACAAAGACTTACTCAGCAGCTTCTTTGAGATTTACATCGTTAGAGGTAAATGAAGGAAAGTGTTTATCTTGAAAACAAATCAATGATATTCAGCATCACATTAAATTAAACCACACACCATGATGAACCTCTGGAGAGGGGAAAGCGTATGGTAATTGCTCAGAGTCTCTCCGTTGTTCCAATCTTACATTAACCTTTACAAAGACTTTTTACAAGTAGATACATTTATTTTAAGTCATCATTTTCAAATATATTATATTAATCTTGTTTCGATTGGTATTTGTAAGTGTGTGTTACTGAACGCATGCTATAACTATATTTTACAGGATGATACCACTAGAATTATCTATGCCTACAATCCGGATGACGTGACAAGTTTTATCCCCTACCATGGCGCCACCAGGCGAGGAACCAAGAGTGTCATGCTGCTGTCTTCCTCTTTGACAGCCGAGGACGTCAATTTTCCTCAAGACATAGTTACCTACGACTTAGTACATAACAATGTAAGATTTCAGTGTGCATTTAATGATAAATGAAACCTTTAGGTAATGTAATGCTTTTTGAAGATATGTGCAGGTTAAAAGTTGCTTTGTATCACAATAAATGCCCTCATTATGGCTGATATTTGTTCTCCTTTATGAACGATTTATATAATGCTTTCACAAAATTCTTCACCTGACTGCTTCAATTTATGTAAACTTTCAGAGCATAAATCGTGAAATCAACAACCATGACGGACCACTAATATTAAAAAAGTCATGTCAAAATTTGGTATCCGAAAATGGAACAATTTATTTGATAGAGACTTACATTCCCTTAATTGATTTAAGGATAAGATAGTTTGATAAAAATTATACACATTTCATGATTTAGTGTAACAGTTTAGTGTATACCTTTTATGTATCAATATATGGTTGACATCGCTACCGATCCTAGTGAAACATAAATTCCATTTCTATATCTTATATACTGTAGATTTATAAACGTATAATGGATGTATATTATCTTACAGAGCGTGCAAATCTTTTTAGAAATGCTTACCTCTAGTTTGCTATGAGTAGTCAGTGCGTCTTTTTTTTTTTTGTTGTGATGTTTGAGGAAATTCGGTCCGGTTATATTTTGTATAATATACTAAACGTGTTGTTTTTGTATATCTCAGGTAATGACTTGTCACGGACGTTCATTTTGGGGGAAATATAGATGTTTGTTACACTTCATGTAACTACAAATGCAATATTCTGTTACTTCAGCACCATGTTCCGTCCAACACCACAGCTTACTCATGTCGAGCCATGAAGTTACCTCCCCTTACCTCCAAACATCACATGATCAAGGTATGCCATGTTTCAAATACAAGTAAGTTGGTACATCTAGTCGCACGTATATTTATAAGAAGATATGTTCCAAGGTCGATATCAAACAAAACAATATACCGTTAAATCTCGATTATAAGCTTAATTTGAAAATAAGCTGTACTTGCAAATAAGCCTTGTATTCCATACAGTGAAACATATCTCAATAATAAGCCGTCTTCGAAAATAAGCGGCATTTGAAAATGAACAATTTATCCAAGGTAGAAGCCATGTAGGTCCTATCAGGTTTTTGAGAAATAATCATCACATCACACGTTTAATATTGCAAAATTTGATAAAAGAAAAACGTTTTCATTTCATTTCGTTAAAAACAACTCTGTAGATCATTGTACATTTCTGTAAAAAGAACTAGTTATTAAGCAATTGGTGTTTTACTATCACAATGGTTTTGAACATAAGACTACCTTGTATAAGCAGGCTTAGAAGATAAGCGGGTAATTCCTTACTGAAAATGAAATAAAGCAGCGGCCTACTATCGAGATTTTAGGGTTTAACTAGTAATTTGGTCATTATTATAAACTTGTGTATTCCTTTTTTAATATTAACGATACATGTATTGTTAACACTTCAAAAACACTGCAAAAATAAAGATAATCATCTCTAACGATATATCAGGGATATAGCAGGTGTAATATGCAAGGTGCCATATGTCCCTAAAAATCAAATTATAAACGTTAATAGTTAATTATATTTTAAATAATGCACTGTCAAACATCTGATCATCAATAAATGTTGTTTAAAACGTGAAATATTTATTGACAATGGATTCCTCTTTTCAACTTATTTCCAATCAGTTAATCAACAATTGATACAGTCAGTATTACCCTTACCTTATTTTCACCTTCAGTATGAGCCAGTAATCACACAGGGAAATGAACTGAACGTGCACCACGCCGTCGTCTACAGATGTGATAAGCGTGCTGCTGAACTGGACAAGTACGACGGTACCGTCTTCCCGTGTGAAAATACTAATACCGCACCTGAACCTCTACGTGGATGTCTTTACAAGGCCATCATTGCGTGGGCCATCGGAGGGGAGGTAAATGTGATCAGGAATTTAATTTGGTTTAATTTTGTCTAACATCCTATCAACAGCTAAGGTCATTTAAGGACGTGCCTCCATATGTTTATGCAGGAGACAGGGTATGTTGGTGTGCTTGCTTCCTTTTGATATTGCTTTATAGTGCTATCTCACTGAAATACCATGTCAAAGGCACCAAGCACATTATTCCGCCCGTTCACATCATACTGACAATGGTTGAACCAGTTATTATCATACCCCTTAATGCTGAACGTTAAGCAAGGAAAACAACTACCATTTTAAGGACTTCGGGATGTCTCGGCCTGGTGACAGAACTCATTGCCTTCCTCACCTGGTCGAACGCTCAATATTCAGGCCAAAAGTGAAGGGTTGCCAAGCAAGGCGCTAGAGTAGTTAGAAGTAGAAAGAAAGATAAAGATCCCAAAATATTGCAATGGTCGCAGCAGATTTATTTTGATCGCTTTTGTATCCCCAAATAGAGGACACCAAAGCAAATCCCCAATTCTGTAGGTGGCTCCCTCATAAGTCGCCTCCTACGATACACGTAGTTAGTAACAGCAGGTGTATTCTTTTTCTGATCCCCCACCTGCTCAGGAATCTGAAAACGGGAGGAACGAGACAGTAGGTCCCAGTGAGATACCACAAAATATGCAACCATTAGCCAAGGCAACTTACCCTCCTATCGCATCTCATTATTATTTGAACAAAAATCAAAATCTTTTACTCTTAACTCAGATATCTGACTTCATGTAGGCCATAAGTCATATACATTTACGTGTAAGAGTTTTTTGTTGACATCACTCCAATGTTGTTGTTGATCAACAAAAATCTCTGTGATGCTGTTGTATCACAAACTACCCTCAATATATTAAGCACTTCTTTCGTTGTCTCCAGTAGTACGGCTTTAGATTCTAGACAAAGTCAGACTAACGTGTATACAGCAGAAACATACATTAGATGTATCCAAATATTTAGTTCTTCTTTAGATGCTCAAATCATTCATACAGCATCGTTCATGGGAGATTGTTTTGGATTTTTTTAACATGTATTTTGTGGTCGAACATTGTTTGAACTTGTGCACATATTTTATAAAGTGTATGTTGCGATACAGATTCGATGTATAAGATGATCATGAAAAATCTTAATTAGATAGCTAGCAGTTATCATTATCTGATAGGTGTGTTGCTATCATTTTTCTGCGAATAATTGTGCAGTTAAAAGCGAATGCAAATGTTTGTTTTTCTTTTGGCAGGCGTTCTACTTCCCCCCTTCTGCCGGGTACTCGCTCGGAACGGATGCTGACCCCGACTTCCTTGTCATGCAGACGCATTACGATAATCCCCTGGGTAGATCAGGTATATTTGTAAGAGGAACTAAAACACACAAGTGATTGCAGCTACATAATTAAGTCTAAAGAAATTTAATTTTATCGTTAATTTACCTCAAACATTTTGTCAATTTTAATGATATTTTCCTATAGCTGCACACATGTATTTCTCTAGGTTTCTACATAAAGTAATGACAAGAATTTGCGGAACTCCGTTTTGGAATTATATTTATGTCCTGTTGCAAAGCCATATACCTTATGCACGCTTAAAAAAACGGGTTACCCGTAACTTGGTAGGTAATGGTGATTTCCTCGGGAATAAAAGGTGTGTTTGATTCCGACCAACAGATATCGTTGACAGTTCCGGTTTCCGCATCACCATCACACCCACACTCCGATTGCACGATTCTGCACTCCTAACCATAGGAATTGGTGTGACTCCGATGCAGATAATTCCCCCTCTGGAACTAGACTTCGTTTCCCAAGGGTATTGTCCTGCGGAACTTCTTGGGAAGGTACGTTACAAGAACTAACTTATCTTTCAGATAAGTTTGCATTGAATTTTGTTAATCTTAGTGTGGTTTCATGATCCGATAGATATTTATTTATTCTTGAAGTTGAATTTTCTAGCTTAATATAAAAAAAAAATATGCATTTATGTTAAAAAGGGCTCATTAAATTGCTTATGTAACATGGAGTTTCTTTGCAACTCGATTGAGTGTTATTGTTTCATGGTATCAAAGTGTTACACATCTATATTCTTCGGAAACAAAGACATGTTACTTTAATACAACTGTGTTAATTGATAAACATATTTCTAGTTTAAAATAACGTGATATATATCTTACAAAAAAACCCGGATAATTTTCTCCTTGCAGTTTTTCAATGATATTCGTGTATTCATATCCATTGTTCATGTTTTGTTCTCGTTTTATGAGATTTTGGTGTGTTTGTTCGATTTTTTTGTTGCCATTTCTACATTCTCTTCTTGTTCTTCTCACTACGTTTATACTGTCTGAATTGTAAACACACTCGAGTTCGTCTCTGAACACCTTAGTTTATTTTGTTTTAACGTAATTAACTGAAAATTGTTAAACGTTTTGTTCGATACGACCATGCACATGATGTATTAGGAACAGAGTTTGGATTTTATGTGAATTCGTTAGAAATGTACATGTTGACAATATATCGACATTTCTGTAGACATTGCCTGATTATTCTACTGTTATTGACCTTTAATGGCTACTTGGGTATTGGTTGACCCTAGACAATTGATATTCCTAAATGTATGTTTTGTATTACAAAAGGACCACACACAAACACAATACATGTGGAGTCTGTTTTCATACCATAACACTGCTTTTGAATAATTTTTCCAATACTGCAGGTTATTTTTTTATTGCAACATGTAAGTTATACAAATGTACTTAAAACTTATAACGGCTGATTCGATGGCTTTTGTTAGCTTTTTTAATTATTTTCAATGTATATACATGTATTTTGGAAGAAAGCATCCGCTACACTACAAACCTTGATATTTATTCCTCTTGACAATCAGACGTATGTGTATTGCCGTCTGCCATTGTTACTGCCCGACGATCGACACTTCTGCTTTCTGATTGGTCAAATTATCACTTCCCAGGGTAGCTCCTTTGTATTGTTGATAACTTGCACAGGTTGCCGTGGTTGTATGTCAACATTTCATTCTGTATAAACTCTGTGTGTGTTACAGGTAAACCACAGCGAAGTTGAAACGAACGTCAAATAAAAGAATATGTAATATCTTATCTGATGAAATAGACCTGGCTAATATAATAATGAATTTGTCATTTCTATTACAGGGTTTACCACAAGAGGGTATAAACGCATTTGCGATTCTACAGCACTCCCATCTACTTGGCAAAGAAATCATGACACGTCTTTACCGAAATGGTAGCGAACTCGAACCACTGGCTGTCGACAGACATTATGATTTTGATTATCAAGACATGCGCTACCTGTCGAGGGAGAGAAAAATATATCCGGTATGTAAACATGAAGTGTTTATGTGTTCATATAAATGTATTATTTTGTTTCACGTCCCATTAAGAGTCGAGGTCATTCAAGGTCATAAAAATAGAACCTCACTACTGGCACGATGACGCGATATTATTAACCCCTGAATAGTCACGCGACAAACTGACCAATAATCTGTGAAAATATCGTCATTTGACCACAGCTGAGGAGAGGTAAAAATACGAAGATTCAAAGGACCATATAATTTTGAAACCTAATTAACGATTTCGCTTTCTATTTTATTATTTTTCCTTTATAAGCTATTTCAAAATATCAAATTACCCCCTTTGAAAAACATGGCAGTAAACAAGGTTTGTGTATAGAAATACTTAACGCTCGGGAAATCATTGCACAAATATCAAATATAGGTTTATATATAAAACCACTTTCATCAGAAGATTCATTATTTTTCAGGATGACAAGATTGAGGTGAAATGTGTTTACGATTCGAGCAATAGACAAGGTCTTACACTGGTAAGTAAAAATGGAGTGTTTTCTTTAGGTAAAGGATGTGATTGATTTGCAAGTATGACTCGGATTACTTTCTTTTACATTTCTATAGTTTCGAAAAAAAACGATAAGCATTTTCATTATCCTGACATTTTGAACCACGGACAAGTCCTAAAATGAAGAAAATGCCATATGGTGAAGCATTCTTAAATTTGGTTGGCATTCCGAGCGTGATATGTTACTTGTTATTTGTATATAGGTGAATCCTATCTAGTTTATTTACAGCAATTCAGAACGTCACAAAATGGTTTACTCAACTGTTTGACTATCAGTCATCGAGGCTGACCATGACCTTGTAGATTATAATACTGATAATATAATATTATTATGATATAGAGGTTTTGATGAAATAACGGATATTATACTTACAAAGCTAACATTATGACATTGATTTCATTAGAAAGAGACTAAATTTACTAGAGGTAAAAACCATTGTATGAGAGAGGAGAAATGTGTTGTCATTGACGATGTCATAAGGGTTCAGAACAATATTGATGTCGTTATTAGGAGATTGTGAAAATAATTTCGTTATACAGACACGTTGTCACTGACTGAGAGGAAGAAAGAATACCTGTTTCGTTACAAAGATTTCGTTATGGTACTGTTGTCGTTATAAGTATTGGTAATGTCGTTATAGAAAGATTATGATTTTGATATCGTTATTTAAATACGTTGTTACAGAGAGGAGGGTAGCATATCTATGCTGTTATAAAGAGGTTGTTATGGTGTTGTTGTCGTTATAACTAATGCTACAAAGAAATGCTGATTAATAGAAAAAAAATATATTGATGTCGATGTATATACATATTGTTACAGACTGGAAGTGAGCTCAGCTGTTATAAAGAGATCGATGTGGTACAGTTCTTTAATTGTAACTTACATTACAGGGAGGATTTTCTACACACGAGGAGATGTGTGAGGCGTTTATTATGTACTACCCACGTACGCCCCTGGACATCTGCCAGAGTGTACCCCTCTACAACACAATAGCTGACAATGCACAAAAAGTCTTCCCTGTTATCAAGACATGGAACTGGACAGATCCGGCGGTTAGGGCTAACTTCCGGTCAGCGCTGGACCACTCTGTACATTACCACTACGCAATGGGAAGCACTGATGCCGTTAATGTAAGATTTGTTCGAAGGCAATAAGAAACTATCATTGTCACATTTACTTTACACAAATGAAAATATTTACTCACCAATATTCATACTGAAATAGACCATGGCTAGTTTCACAGCTATTGGCATTTTTTCTATCTTATCCAACAAAGAAACAGCCCATAGTTAAGAAAGTCAGACTATTTCATTTTCAAAATATTTTTCATATTGTTCATCAAGAAAAGTTAGCTTATGCAGAGACCATGTTAAATCTGCTAAAATGGAAACATGTGCTCAGTAGGCATTTGGTATATTAGCCTGCTAGATAACTTGATCACGTGATCTGTTTTACAGGCACATACTACGACAACGGAGCCCCCAACAAAACACCCGTATGTAAAACCTCCGGATACTAGATGTCAGCATTAGTTAGAGCCTCTTCTCAACCTGGTCAACTTTCTTGACTGGAAATGACGACCATGAAGTGCTACGCTTTTCGGCGGATTTGATAATTAATGGTCGATAATATATTATTTGTATCTTGGTATGTCTCTGATAAACTTTCACCATACTTACATGTGATCTTGTTTGTGATGCAGACCTTGGTAATTTTAATTGACGAAAATACATTCATTAATCATATGCTTAAGTATTTTCAAGTTCCATTTTGTTACAAATAAAGATAACTAAAGGCATCAAACATGTTTTTGTTATTTTTTACCTGATTAAGACTATAATATACATTGTATATATATATATACATTTAACTGCGTGAATATACGCATACTGCAATGTTCTTCCACTCGAAATATTTGTCAAATCTCAACGCAATACTTTCTGTTGAAAATGTTATTGCGCGATCAACCGCATTTAATATATTTCTCGATTTCTAGCCCACCTAGTTCGACACTGGTCACATGTAATAAATACCCGAAATCAGTGACATGTGTCACTCAAATCAGGATAATGTACCAGTTTTGTACCTATTCAGTAACTACATATATGTCATGTAAACCAATTTCGTTCTTGAACACGTATGTAACACATTATGCTTTTATACCGTCTGTCCCTTTTGCGAATAAGACTTTTCAGTTCCTTTGTAACCCATAGGCAACCGTCTTTCTTTCTAGTAGTCTTGTGTGATATGTTACGCTCTATGCTGCTTTCACGTGTTCTGTTTGGAAGTGTTGGTACATGTCTTCAGCTGAACTGCCATTCTTGCTCATGTCATCAACAATAACTTTAATATCCTTCAGGTCTGATGTTATGTTGTCCCACCTCGCCTTTTTGTAGAGTGGAATCTTTCTAGGCTTTTGAAAATTTCTTGATGGTATGAGATCCAACTCGCTGTACACGATGTCATGGTCAGATATCCATGGTATGATCTCCACAATTTGGCGGACGCAGGTAGGATAGCTTGTGACAGTGAGTTCCAGAGTGTTCAGTCCTCGAGTTGGTTCCTCAACTATCTGCCTTAAGCCATTTTCATCTAAGATATCCAGGAACTTGTGGTGTATACTTGGATGTTGAGTATTGGGTTTTAAGATGTTTTCCTTCCAGTTCCAACCAGGTAGATTAAAGGCACCTGCCCATATTACTAGAGCATTGTTAATCCTTGTCGTTCTTACTAAACTTACCCCTAGTTGGTGTATACTGTCCTCATTTGATGTTTTTGGAATGTAATAGCACGATAGGTATAAAGTCTTATGTTCCTCAAGTTCGAGTTTGCAACAAACAATTCCACAATCGGTATGTAATTCTGGGACTGGTGTTAAAATGTATGTGTCCTTTACTGTTATGAGCAACCCTCCTCCATGCAGGTTTCTGTCATTTCTATAAATGTCATATCCTGGTGGTAGTTTTTATGGACTGGAAATTTACGTTCAATAAATATCCTTAGGTGTTGTTTAGCTTTCTATGATTATGTTTCTCTCTAATTGGAGTAGATGAATATGTTGGTAGGACAAATTCTGGCATTGTTGGACTATATGTTGGTATATGCTAGTATCTGTACATGTGTGAATTTTACATTAAATGAGACTAAAACACACTCTCTTAAGTATCTTGGGTTATTATAATTCTTTTGCCATATGCTGGTGAGATGAGTTTACAGGTACAGTTTATTTTATTGACACTTGAAATATGACGAATACTGTGAAAATAAACATGTACATAAACGCCACCATTTTGGATTTGCCGTCACAGCGACTAAGCAGCAAGAAATGTCAATTATTCACATGTTCTTAAGCTATGGATGACCAGATTGATTTCGAATCGGTCTATGGTGTCTTGCTTCACCGCCTTACCAATATAACTGTCCGTGATTTCATGTTTGATCGCTTAAAATATGATAAAAGTGTTAGATTTAACAGGAGCTAGGAAGGAAGCATCATCACTCTAGCGCATGCGCACAACCTCCTTGGTCAATCATTTACCCCTTTAAATAAATTAAATTTAAGTATACCAATCTTTATTAAAAAGAAAATTGACAACAACATAAGCAGCATTTTCTGCTCAAACGATCGCAGTAAAAGCTTTTATCTGTTTAACCGGTGTTAAGAAAATCAAAAAAATGACTTCGAGTTACCTCCCTTTATTCATAAAATGTCGCAACTTTTGATAATAATGAATTTATCTAAATGATATGTGTTTGTTGTTTCTTAAAATGATATCAATTTAATATACAAAAGCTGTGTATCTGTCATACAATTTTGTCCATGGTTTCTTTCGTCTGAGTCAATCATAGTCGCCCAGATATTTACAAAACAATTCTTCTTAAGCTGCACGTGAAGTGAACAATTTCTTCCAAATCAAGTCACATTAACGTAAAATGTATGTCAAATTCAGAATGCATACCAAGCGTTCAATATAGCGACCATTGCTACATCAGTGTTGTATTGAAACATTGAACTCTTTTTGTATGGTATTTAGGATCTATTTGAATGACACAGCTTTGCAAGCAAACAACATAAAGCTGTGTCATTCAAATAGATCATAAATACCATACAAAAACAGTTCGATACTTATATTTACGTTTTCTCTGCCTCTTATGTTCTTTTTTAACTTATAATTTATATTTAAAATTAAAAATGCCCTCCTTATCGACAGTCCACACAAGTTTGTTTATTAGTTTAAACTGCGTATCGTCGCGTGCTACCACTCGGTGGCCACCATTAATCAGTTGATATAACTGACTGCCTGCAGTACCAGACTGTTTATTGGACGAACTGTCTAAATGTTAATCTGATAGCTCACTTTATTGACTCGGCACACTGTGAAATAGTTGTTTTCAGGAACCTGTCATTCGCCAAGTAACATACATTTTGAGAGCTTGCAAAATAAACGTTAAATAACCGTGTTTTTTGTTCAAACCAAACATGGCCATATATCATATATACCAAATTGATTAATCTCACTTATCTTACTATAATGTTACACGTCTATGACAGGTTTTTTTTAAATTCATTTTGCAAGGAATTTACAGTCGCGGATTCAGAAACCCTGCCCTCATGTTTACATTTTGGGTTTAGAACCTCAGAAAGCCAAAAGTTACAACCTCAGAGAGAATTAACCCTACCCCTGTACCTATAAATACTAATATACAACATTTGATACAGCACCCTATTTAGATAACATAAGCCACACTAAAGCGCTTTACAGTACATGGATTTACAATTAATACAATTAGCATAAACATTAATCAATACAATTTTGAGGGAATTCGCAGGAGCTGTCTTATCAGGCGCTAATTACTAGTCCTGTGCCACCTGGCTAATATCTCCCTATGTTTGTATGCCTGTGTGTGTGCTGGAGATGTAATGTGTGTTCTGTTTGTAGTGGGACCGTGCTTCCAAAGGCATCATTTATAGTGCCACTTCACCTGAATGCTAAAGCACATATACCACAACATCCACCCCAGACCAATTTCTACTTCACCTGGGTTGTTGGAGTTGTGTTGGCAGAAGAAAGACACTTTCTCTGAATATCCATGCGTTCGACGACTTCGGGGATCGAACACGGGCCGCCTGCCAGGAAGGCTGGAGTGTTAGCAACTCGACAAATCCGCCCATAAATAACAGACACTATCAGTAATTAACCTTTAAATATTCCTACAGACACCCACCTTCTATTTGCCTTTATCACGATGTGCTTCCTGCGAATAGATTAAATATTTCCGATGGGAAATATTGACTACATGTCAATGCGGTAATTCACATTTAACAAATGCCGGTAATAAAATATTCAAAAAGTACGAAAAACATTCATGTGATTCTTACTACTGTAAACACCAATGCACGGCGTTTCGTTCTATACTTACACAACATGTTATGTTATGTCTTTATCAATGGATACATCTGTCAATACATTTCCATCTCTTTCCATAAACTTTGTCATGTAATCCCTTTACGTGTCATGGCCTACTCGCGGAAAGTGATACAATATTGAGACTGCGACTCACATTTTACATGAAAATCACAATGGCTTATTGAAACAGGGACATGGTTAAGTATTGTTAGCAAGGTTTAACTTGCCAATCTAATGATGATCTATTTGAAAGTTTTATTTAGTGTTTTTCGTTATTTTATTTTCTAGTAAGAGTTATTCACCTTGGTATGTGTGAGTTGGCTTCCCCCAGGAACTCCGGCTTTCCTCCACCAACAAAACCTGGCACGTCCTTAAATTAAATGACCATACCTGTTAATAGGACGTAAAACACAAACAAACAAACAAACCCTTAACGTGTAAATATAAAAAAAAAAAAATGCCATGTGACGTGACCGTATGTCTTGTGATTGAGTTATCTCCTAAACACCAGCGTTGCTGGCATTCAACACATGAGATCATACCGCGTGATATCTAAGTTACCCGTGATCACTACGAGGAGAGTTTAGTCGTGTCACTGGGGTCGGAATGAGGGACGAATAATAAATCTATTAATAGAAATAATGTGTTTTTGTCAAAGTAGGTATTGAAAAGTGATTTCTTGTTAAATTGATGGTAATTGATCTAATGTTCATACAAAAACACTATTAGGTAACGGGACATTTTCTTGAGAGTTGTAACACTTTGTGAAATTATTAAGGAAAAGAAATACATTTAATAATATCATAACCACTACTGGAATTGATAAGCTTAATGCTTCATAATAGAGAGGCAGAACAATCTTGTTTTGTGGCAGAACCAAGGTGATAAGTGAAAAAGGAAATTATGTATTTCTTGTGTATACATGTACAATTTCTTTCCTGTAGTAAAGAAGATGGTCATTTCAAAAGCCCTCTGGTTGACTGGTCATCTATGTTTTGTCTTTAGTTATCAATCCAGTCACAGCATAACCTTGACTGTTATCTAGAACATATTTCCTATGCCTGCTCTAAATGTTTGCCCAATCTTATCCGTGAAAATATCACCTCATATTTTTAAGTATTCCCTCTTTCGCAATACGGACTGATAACAACGTTGATTTCGAATTGTTTCTCATGTGATTGATAACATTTAAACCTGGCGTTTGTTACATAAGGCATCAGTTAGGGCAGAGGACGAGAAGAAACATGGCCATTCTAAAACTAACCGTATTGATAGGATTGCTAGCCGCATGTTTGGCGCTTGCGACGGATTCGGTTGACCATATTTCTCAGCTGATTAAAGACGGGCAAGTCAGAAGCGCAAACCCTGTTCAGGTGGGTGGAGTGTCTCGTTATACATTTGCTCATTAATTGTTACATGTTAAATCGTTTTCATCAAAGTATTTTAAAAGTTATTTCCTTATGTTATACCTTTTATATTTATTCATAATTAAACCGATTTCAGCTGGTATTCATATTATATATGAAAGACGAATGGAAACTGACAATTATCATAAAGTACATTGTGTATTTCGTGTTAAAGTCATTTTTCACTTGGTATTCAAATTTAATATGTGCGTCAACTGAAACCTGTTCCAAATTTAAACTAACATTATTTATTTTACTATCATGATTTCGAAAAAAAAAATATTTGGTAAGATCCGCATTAAGTTAAAATAGGATTATTTATCGTGTTTGCTTGTTTAATGAATAGAACAGCCATTTTCAAAAGGAGGTCAATGGTAACAAACCTTACCACTATGACGTCATTATACTAATGACGTAAACACGCGAGCTTGAATAATTATATTCAATCTAATTTAATACATTGTTATTGATAATTAGACTAGAAAACGACAATAACGTCAGTTTATAGTTATCCTTCCTTTAAAAACAAAGATAAAACAATGATTTTACGGTATGTGGTATATTGTATTGTTTAACGATGTCACTGTATACCAAAATCGAGAAAGAAGGGTTACATTGCTTAATACCAATCAGTTGTAGTAACATATCAAGACAATCAAAATACCTTTTAATTAAAACGGTAACAGGCATTGCCATTCTTCATTAAATAATTGCTCTACTGTGAAGGAATCTTTTTAGATGGTCATTACCACTAGTGGTCTATACATGTACGATAAAACCGTTCTGGCCTATTTGCTCTGATTATTGTTTGGTTAATAGGCGTATTTGGGCACAATATAGATATTATTAAAGCCAATATATTTTTGTCATAGACGGCCAAAGTGTTAGACAATTCATCAATTATGGAAATTTAAGAAAAGCTTAAGAAAGTTTCAAAAAATAATATGTTGTTTCGTCAAAGAGAAGCCATTTGTGACTTTTGTCCACACTTACATGTAACCCCCAAATATCCCGAAATGTTCTCCAGGCTGACCTTAATTTTATGTGATGGCATAACCCTAGGTATGTAATGCAAAAACAGACTTATCGATGATAGGTGATAGCCAACAGAAGGTCCAAATCGCCACTCTTCCTTTTACAGACGAAATCACGTAATAATAATAATAATAATTCGAGGTTCTTATATACCGCTTTATCACAACCTAGTTCGTAGGTCGTCTCAAAGCAGTTCACAATTTATTATCCGTGGTTATATGGCCTTTGCAACCAGCCAATATGTTTATCACCTCCCTGGGAGCATACAGCCGATGCTGTCATTTCGACGCTCACAGCTAGCATTCTATGATTCTAGCACTACCCAACCCCGTACTCATTTACAGCTGAGTAGACTGGAACAAGCGGAGCAAAGTATCTTGCTCAAATATACAGCCGGTGCTGCCATTACGACGCTCACAGCTAGCATTCTATGATTCTAGCACTACCCAACCATGTACTCATTTACAGCTGAGTAGACTTGAAAAAGCGGAGCAAAGTATCTTGCTCAGGGATACAACATAGTGCCGTGCCGTGCCGTGCCGTGACTCGAACCCGCAACCCCTCGGTCACGAGCCCGGCGTCCTACTACTAGACTACCGTGCCTCCTACATGTGTGTATCGTTAGATAACGTTAACCTTTCAGTACTTTCTATTTTGTGACTTCTATAAATATTCCTTTATCAAACATTTCCATCGTTTACGGGTTTTTACGTGATGACGGTAATTAAGTTTTAGAAAGTACTAGACATCTTAAGAACTATAGCAATTTTAAAACTCAGTTGTCTCATAAATCATTTCAAAATAATTTATCTGTAAACAAAATAATTAATCTGTAAACAAAATGACCGAAGTTTTATTTGATAACAAAGAAACAAAACACTTGAACCAAACGACCAATAATTTATGTTTATTGATCTGCGTCAAAATCGATGTTTTTATACCTGTTATAAATGTCACCTTCCCAAGATAACGCCGGGTACATTTCACTGTTGACTGAAATGTCGTCCAGGACAACACGAGTCAACTGTTATCAGGTGACTGGAACTTCGTGCAGCAACGCGGATTTTTTCGTTTCTATTTGAATTATACTCTCACCTGTAACCATGAACGGAGTGCATAAATTATGTTCTTCTTACCCTCCACTCAAACACACGAGCTCCATTTTCTGTATTTATTGTAACATGAATTTAGGGATGACGCATTCAAATTGTAAGCATTCAGCGAAAATAACTACAACAAAGTCAGCATATTTTTCAATTTTTTAATGTTCTCAAGGAAAAAGACCATAATCAATACTCGTTTTCCACCTTGACAATACTCAGAGGGTCGAGCGATGCTTTTTAAGTTTATACATATAAGTAGTGGAGAAGTTACAGAACTGATACAAAACGTCAGAAAAGCCTTCTAAAGGAAGAAGTAGTCACCGAAAATGTCAACTATTTGAAAAGTGATATTGAAAGACCCATTTCCATATTAAATACTGGAATCAACATGGACTTGTATTATGTAATTAATAACAAGTAGTTGTATAATTATAAGCTTAACGTATTATAATGTGAATATTAATATACCATACAATATTGACATAGCTTATTCATAATATCTAATGTATATAAGCCTAATATTCAACTATCTATGAGTCAAAAAAAATCATGCAATTATCACACACAGATTATTGTGAATATTGATTATTGGAAAACGATAGGCAAATGTTATAAGGGAGATAAATTAGGAGTTCATAGATTGTCATGAAGCGTGATGTGCAATTAGTTTATATCTTTTTATTCATTTCCTTTATTATGTTTGATTGTTGGCTGTGTAGTGAAATCAAATTAGTGATCTAGTTTATTAGGTAACGTATTAGAGCATGTGTATTTAATACGTTTAATGATGTATTGTTTATGTTTCATTCATGTAAATTAAATCTAACAGATACCGAGACCGACGCCTACCCGCCATTTTGAACACTATGTCAAGCTCGATACCACTGGTCAGTTCTGGCTGTTTTGGACCGCCAATTCCACCCACGTGACCTTTGAGACACACGTGAACACGCATGGTTACGTTGGATTTGGAATCTCCCCGAACGGAAAGATGTTCCCAGCTGACGTCATTGTGGGCGGAGTCAAGGACGGTCAAACCTACTTCAAGGTTTGTATTTAATTACTGTGCATGATGTGTGGAATGGGTGGAGCCAAGGATGGCTCGCCTTCGTCATTGATTATAATTAGTATTGGATATATTTGAGCGCAGAAAGGCCGATCTAAGCGTTTAAGTGTAATTAGGGATATAGACAATCATAGTTTATGGAGTAAACCATTGTTATAAATTGAAAAACAAAAGTTACAATTTTTCTTTTTTTCTTTTGAACTCTGGGGTATTTAAATGTGTCCAAGTTTTTAAACATAACGTAGACTGATTCAAAGCTGATACTGCAGTACAGCGAAACGTTATTTCTTCAAAATGTTTTTTTAAATCATTAATAAAAAAAAATGTAAAGGATATGCATTCATGTGATATAGTCGACATAATCAATGAACATCAAGTAGACTTCGAAATAATGAAGTAATGAAAAGGGTGAAAATATGAATAATTTTCTTCAATTTCTGATTGAAACACGATACCATTTCGATTTTAAAATAAAAAAGCAGAATTTGTTTCCGTATTAATGATTGCGGAAGTTTATTTTAATTAATAATCAACTTTTGCACTTTTGATTATTTAATTAACTTATTCTACCGTAGTCCTCGATGTTTTTCAGTAAATGTTTGTTTCACAGGACTATCATACTACTGAGCATGCCCCGCCAGTAGTTGACCAATCACAAGACTGGTTCCTCATCGCTGGCAAGGAAACTGCATCCGGAACAGTCCTAACCTTTGTGCGCAAACTCAACACATGTGATAGTGTTGGTGACGTGGTCATAACGGTATGTGTGCAAAAACACTAGAAGCCAATGTCTGTATGCGCAAATGCAGGGGGGACAGTTGATGGACGCGACTTATATTTCATCGCAAAAAACACCTGAAATATATACGAACAGTAAATATGAACAAGAAAAGCACATAATATAACATGTATGGAACATATGTAGAAGAAAAACTGCTACCGAATCGATAGAAGTCATCATCAATGACAGTGTGCCAGTGCATATGATTGAAACACCACAATCGAATCGCGAGAATGCATTTTTCCCGAAATGGATTACAAATTATACACTTCTTAACTAAAAACAGCCAATCGTTGTAAGATTGTAACATTACAGTAGTTTGTTAAGCACCTGGTCCTTCTCGTAGTATATCTACATATGTTTAAGAACGTTTCAGATATTGATTTTTATTCGTTTGACCTTATATAGGACTGATGAGTCTTAAATTCCGTCTTTGCGTATTGCAGAGTTATCTTCTCTTGGGAGCAGGGATTGATTGTTACGTCATTAGTTTGTGCGAGAAAATTACGTCGTTTTCTCAAAAATTGATTACGTTACTCTCACAAATAAGTGACGTAACAATCAATACCTGCTCCAAAGAGAAGATAAATCTGCAATACGCAAAGACGGAATAGACGAAAAGGCCATAAAGTAATATGTTTACTTGATATAATTGTCTCCATCGACATGCTAAATTCTTAAGTGTAATTTACTTTTACTTATAGTTTTACTTTCTACACAAACAATGAACGTTTTAAACGTGTCGCAACGGTTCAATATCGACTGGTCCCTTTGTCAAGAAACGAGTTCAAGACCGACTAGTCCTTTGTCAATCTATGACTGCGATATCAGAGCTCGATATCAGAGCTCGATAAAGGGACCAGTCGGTATTGAAACGTTGCGAAACGTTTAATACATACATTGTGTGTTTATAAAGTAAAAAATTGATAAAACTTATTTCCAAACTGATGAATCTTATTGGAGGGTTTCTTAAACGTGTGTTTCCTTGATAAATATAATACACATACAGTGAATATGATGCAGCTGTCTGGATAATTTGCAACCGAAGAATTTATTTTATCAACACACGGTGTTATATTACTTATATTACATGGGTTAGCCGTTCCTTGATATGTATATAGAAAAAATGGAAGACAAGTAGATTTCAGGCAGGTCCCTATCGCTTTCAACTCTTTATTTGTTTTAAGGGAATGTGTTGGTTTCAAAATGAACCTGTCCCCTGATGAACCTCTAAAGAGATGAAAGAGTTAAGGAACTGCTCAAAATCTTTGTTTTTCTTTTATTTATATCAATCATCACAAGGACTTTTGAATTTTTATGTATATCTATATTTTGCAATATCTTGTTTCGATTTGTTTCGTTTCTGTTACCACATGCATTATTATATTTTACAGGATGACACCACTAGAATTATCTTCTCCTACAATCCTGTCGACGTGACGAGTTATATCCCCTACCATGGCGCCACCAGGCGAGGAGCAAAGAGCGTCATGCTGTTGTCTTCTTCTTTGAAACCGGAGGACTTCAATTTTCCCAACGATACAGTTACCTACGACTTAGTTCATGACAATGTAGGATTTTAGTGCGCATGTCATGATAAATTACAACTTCTGGTGTTTCAAATTCTATTTGCGAATTCCTATATCAAAAGTTGCTTATTTTCTTATTTTCTTTCTACCTTATGAGCATTGTTTTTAATGTTGAAACAAAAGTCCACACCTGACAGCTTTAATTGATTCAGACCGGCAAATAGCCATTATTAAATTGAACAGTTATGGTAGACAACTGATATTCTACAAGGAGATGTCAAAATTAAGCGTCGGCAAATACCACCAATTATTTAAAAGAGACTTTATTTGTTTAAACCGATCTTTTGCATATTCATGAATGAGATGCTTTATATTTTGACCTTATACATATATCTGTATAGATCACATTGCAACCAATACGAGAGAAACAACTGTTTTAATTGTATCCGTTATACTATACCTTATGTCTTAGGTGAACACTAATATATGGAAAGTGCTTACTTTTGTAGACATGATGATGAGGGTTAGATGTAGTATAACGAAATACTTACCCTTAATGAGTTTTGAGTGTTAACTGTGACTTTCTGCTTGTTTTTATGTCTCCTCGGTCGTGTCCTGCTATCTAATAATTATGATACATGTTTGTTTCGAAACAGGCTTTCACTTTGGTGGAAATATATATGTTTGGCACACTTCGTGTAACCACTAATTCATGTTTTGTCACTGCAGTACCACGTTCCGGCCGACAAAACTATCTACGCGTGTCGAGCGATCAAGTTACCTCACCTCACCTCCAAACATCACATGATAAAGGTATGTCATGTATCAGATACAGTACAGTTGTTACACAAAAACTAGGAATTAATTATTGTTACAAAATAGTCTCCAACATTTGTAATAGAATACTGATACAAACATTGTCAACACTCAGAAAACACAGAGAACTAGCATACTGCTTGCGAACAGTGTTTTAGGAATATAACAGGTGTAATGTAACTAGTATCTACTGAAGACCTCTATTATTGTGCAGTCTAGATACTATCACTATGATATATATGTAATAACTTTGTAATGATGTAGATAACTGACTTACTAAGGCTAAGAGTACACATCTTATATAGATGTGTTGTATGTGTGAGGGTGTGTGTGAGGGTGTTTGTGACGTGTAGACATGTGGGTATGCAAGTATGTATAAGCTTGGGTAGATGTTTACATATTTAATTAGTATACGTTACCCGAAGTAGTTATTCTACTCTTTTGAATGTCTGTGTAATACTACTAGCAATGCTTACACTTTAAGATCTATTTATCTATATATATATATATATATATATATTATTTTCTATAATATCTATTAATTACCTTATTCACTCTGACTTGTATATTCTATTTATTCTATGTGGTAGCTATTGGAGAGGACCTATATAGGCTTGCCTTTTGTCCAATAAATTTGTTTTCTAAACAGTAAATTTTGTTGAAATGAAACAGGTGTAATGTAAAAGGTTTCATATATCTATCGAAAACCATTTTTAAAAGAAAATAGGAAATTCATTTAAGAAAATGCATTGTTAATCATATATAAGGATATTCGTATAATGTAAAAATGTTGAACATAATTATATTGACAATACTTTTTCAAATTGAATTTCAAACTTGTTGGCTCCTAACATCACCGGTTCAAGTCCTAGAAGGTCGAAACATCTGTATGATGCAATGTAATTCATTTTTGATATTTTGTTTCTATTACCTTTGCTGTAACTTTGATGGCCACAGTTACCTCTGATTAGTAATGGCAAAGTTCATAATATACACACTTAACCCATTATTTAAGTTAAAATTAACCACAACTTTTCTTAATTTTCAATTTATGAATTACGGAGTTTAATTCACCTTCCTCTCTGCTTCAACAATAGTAAAGACATTATGGATTCCCAACTTTGTGGCCCCATATCATCATAGAAGAGTCTCCGAAGGACGAGATAGCCGTAGGATGCTGTGTGATTCATTTTGACATACTGTATCTATTACTAAATATAGTAGCAATTACCTAAGACTGTGTGTGTTATGTTCATCCTTTAATCGACTAGCTAACAATATATTCAACAAACTCACGCCAGTATATCGTTGTCCTAACCTTTTGTAAATCTTCAGTACGAGCCAGTCATCACACCCGGAAATGAATTAAACGTGCATCACGTGGTCGTCTTCAGATGTGACAAGCGCGCTGCTGAACTTGCCAAGTACGACGGCACCGCCTTCCGCTGTGAATATTATGATCAAACTGTACCGGAACCCCTTCGTGGTTGTCTGTTCAAGGCCATCATCGCTTGGGCCGTCGGAGGGGAGGTAAGTACGATCAAGGATCTTTAAACAAATGATACGATGGATGCACTTAATCCCAGGGAAGTGTGCATCACAAGGAGAGAGCGACATTGGTTTGGTGATATATGACTTTGAAAAAAACTTCCTTGTTTTGTTAACTTTATGTGGGAAGTGCTAAATTATCTAAATACGTTTCTCCTCATGGAATGACGTTTTGCCAATACGGTTTGGCTACGACACATGAACTTGATCATTTTTTCCGAATTGTCGGCAGTTAGCGAGCAATAAGCGTGTGTCTGATAAGTCGGTTAGGAAATAATGAGTTGTTTATAAGTTGTCTTGTACGGGTTGGCTATGACATTTAAAGCTGGTCCGTATTTTCCTGTACATGTCGGCTACACAAATTGTAAAAAGTGTTTCTATGCACATAAGAAGTTGTATAACCTTTCCCAGCCAAACGGCTAAGACACAAAACGTATTCTGTATTTTCCTGTACAGGTTGGTTAACGTGGATGACACCGTCTGATTGGTCAATATCTAACCTCAGATTATGATCAAATCACTACTGGTCGATACTACAATCAATAAGCATTAACAAAATATGGTCATGCAAAATTTCAAACTAAATTTAAATTTGTAAAGAGTTTCATTAGCATAAATGAAATTAAAATTTACAGGTTTTAATACTAATCTAATTTCTAGATGTTTAACTTTTTCAGCTGTTCCCAGCACTTTTCTTAAACATTTAGATGAATAAAACTTATTAAGTAATCAGGTCTACGTTCTCTTGAAATGCACCACAAAGCAACCATTAGTCTGGCTGACCTCCCCTGGTATGGCATCCCATTATTATTGGAAAATATTAATATATTCACTTATTTTAAAGGCAGTCATATCTGCCGCTTAATTAAGGACAATGTCAATTTATAGTTTTAAGTGTTTTCTTCATATGACGTCACTCCAGCGTTATTGTTAATTTCCTGCCATTACTTATCAAAGCGCTTTAGAGTGGCTTATGTTAGCTAGATAGGGCGCTATATCAAATGTTGCATATTATTATTATTATTATCAAGGCGGTTTTCAAATGTAGTTATAGATGAGGCTTGAACCAAGCACCGAGGTAGGGAATTCTAGTTACCAGTAATCCGTTAAGTAAATAAATGTGTTTTTCTCCAGTCTGCTTCTTAATTTCCTACCTGAGTGAATTTTCTCGAGTGACTTTATTTTGTTGTATCGACTAGAGTCTCTGTTATGCTGTCGTATCACACTTGTCGTAAGAACTGGAACACTTATGTCCCCCTAAAACGTCTATAGACTAATGATTTAAGTTTGAACGAGGTAATCTTTTCCAAATTTTTCATTCTTGGTTGTAATTTAGTAGGTCTCTTGTGAATGCGTTTTAGCAGATCGATATTCTGCTGTTTGTATAGGTGCCATACACTCGCCCCATACACTAGCTAGGTGAAGTTAAAATTCAGTTTTATAGTAGTCAAAATTATATATTATCCAAATTTGTATTTCATTTACTGATGGCTTCTACTGTAGTATTCAAATAATACCAATTATTTAAAAGATACTTTATTTTTTAAACCGATCTTTTGCATATTCATGAATGAGATGCTTTATGTTTTGACCTGATACATATATCTGTATAGATCACATTGCAACCAATACGAGAGAAACAAGTGTTTTGATTGTATCCGTTATACTATACCTTATGTCTTGGGTGAACACTAATGTATGGAAAGTGCTTGATTTTGTAGACATGATGACGAGGGTTTTGTGTAGTATAACGAAATACTGACCATTAATGTGTTTTGAGTGTTAACTGTGGCTTTCTGCTTGTTTTTATGTCTCCTTGGTCGTGTCCTGTTATCTAATAATTATGATACCTGTTTGTGTTGTAAATGTTATGTAATGCCTATTCGAAACAGGCTTTCTGCCTGTTTTGATGTCTCCTCTTTGATGGCTTCTACTGTAGTTGTATGATATTTCTAAAACTAATATTTTTGTCGACAATTGTTAGAATTGATCTGATGCAGCAGATGAGCAATATATCACAATTACATAATTACAGATACCATCATGTGAAATATGTATTGTTTGCATTTTCGTCGCGATGAAATAATTTTTCTATTTGAGTAGAGGTATGGCTTGTGAAAATCCAGTTTCAAGCTCACAGGGCTAATCTGCTTCGTTAAATCTTGAATGCGACTGTCTTTTTTTTCTATTGGAAGGCGTTTTACTACCCTCCATCTGCCGGGTTCTCGCTCGGGACGGATGCTGATCCCGACTTTCTCGTCATGCAGACGCATTACGACAATCCCTTGGGCAGATCAGGTAAGTAGATGATGATGATGATGATGATGATGATGATGATGATGATGATGATGTTGATGATGATGATGATGATGATGATGATGATGATGATAAATGTTTTAAGGTGGACAATGACAGTTTCATATGAAAAGCGTTCTAGAATTCTTGATTGATTTTCCGTTTGAAAAAAATGAATAATTATGTATAGTTAACTGTTTTGTAAAAAAGACTGATGAAACTCTCTTTAAATTCGCTGATACTCCCCTCAGTTTCACTAATGCTTCACTAGTGACGGTTGAACGAGCATCATTTTGGATATATTTATATTGTAAAATTTGAATATAATATGTAGAACCTTCCTCAAATTTGTGCGACAAGATGAATTTTTCGTGTACTACAATATACATTTAGACCAAGGCTTTCCATAATAACAAAGTTCATTCGTAAGACACATTCGTTATAACACTTATACATTTCAGAGTCTAATAAAATAATGATAATAAAATATTTATAATTATGAAATACATTTCTAGATTTTACATGTAAACATGACAACAACTTGGAAATAACAGTGTTACAATTTGAATTACGTCCTGTTGCAAACCAATACTATTTACTCATACCAAATTGTATGTATACTTGACAAAATACAGGTAAGTCATAATTTTGTTATGTATATACTTATGTCATTGGAGCTCAAAGAACCCTCCTATAACACGTGTGTTTGAATCCGTTCCATAGATATCGTTGACAGTTCCGGTTTCCGCATCACCATCACACCCACACTCCGACCACACGATGCCGCGCTCCTAATGATAGGAATGAGTGTGGTTCCGATGCATATGATTCCCCCTCTGGAACTAGACTTCGTTTCCCAAGGATATTGTCCTCCGGAACTTCTCAGGAATGTACGTAACTAAAATTCACTAAGCTTAATTGAAAATTTGTTTTGTATTTCATTAAATTTCTGGATTCAAAGGAAGTCTTTTAAAGTTAAATATTCAAAAACCACATTATCCTAAAAAAAAATGCCAGTTATTGCAATGCGATTTTTTGTCATTTTATCATAGTTATACATTACGTGTTTTGTACATGAAACACAAAATATTTTAATTTCAAGGAATTATAATGAAAGGTGTTAAAATTGATCTTTGTATCTTTCATAACAAAGCTTATCACTTGAAAAATTCCTTATTGAGTAATCCGATGATGAGAGTCTTCTTCTCCGACTGAATTATATATACACCCGAGGTTCGGCGTTGAATGCCAAGATCTAAAGCGTAATTTACAGAACAATGTCTAATGTTTTGTATTCCCGAAAACTCGTGAAAATTGATCAAAGGTCGAAGGGAAAACGCCTCAATATCCTATAACTATAATAGTTGCTGCCTGTGCAATATGGGGAATGGTCAGAAGGATGAAAATTATATCGTCACTATATCGGAAACATAATAGTTATATATTCACCTTATCATTATTGTGGCGTCAATTTCACTGATACAGTGTTATGTTTGATATAACAATCTCCTATCGTTGCGAGAAGTATTTTCTGACACTTAAGCTACAGATCGAATGTCCTCACAAGAGAAATAAAATTGACAAAATTCATTGTTTCCTTCAAGTGATCCAATTACCACTTCCAAAAACTGTAACTAAGTATTAAAAACAGGTTTTTTTCTGGCATTACTATAAAACCATGATAAATCATTTCTAAAAATAAACTATACCCTGTGGGAATTTTAAGAAAAAGAAATATGATCACAAGGGTGTATTAAGTGAAAAAGTGCGAGGTTAGACCGGGGTTCGAACCCTGGACTTTAGATTGTAATATAGACTATTGATGTAACCGATTGGGTCAACGGCAGTGTACTAGCCCGAATGTATTACAGTTATTTCCAAACGGAGGTTAAATTGAGGTTACTGTTTGTAGGAAAAACTACAGTGTAGTGGGACAAAGATAATTAAATATCATTAATGTTTGACTCTTTAATTAAATTTTCTGATATTTCGTTGCACTTCTACTATGAGATTTATATATCATTATCATAAAAATAAAACAGGTGATTCTTAGGTATCCTATGTGAATCTAACTATCGATACATAAACCGAACATTAACATGAAAGATATGAAACGCGGTAAGATTTAATGTTAATTTGTCTTGAATGTACATTAGTACGTTTAGACTATTTGTTAAAAAAAAGAAAACCCGAAATTCTTCACATTTCAAAATGTTATTACATGTGTTTTTCTACTCTAAAAACATTTTATTTCCTTCTTCGCAGTTTTTTAACAAATAGTATAGTATGTTGTTTATCTTTGTCTCCTATACCTTTATTATACCTGTAATTTTAAAACCGACTCAGTTACGTTGTGTAGGGTTTTATTTAATTTGGACTCCTCCTAACTGGAAGAGGTCTGTGTATTGCTGTCTGCCATTGTTATTACCCGACGATCGACACTTCTGTTTTCTGATTGGTCAACATATCATTTGTCACGGAATGTCTCCTATCTTTACTTTAATTGAAGTTGTCGGCTTGTATTGTTGACGTCTTGCACAGGTGTCCGGGGTTGCAAGTCAACATCTTATTCTGTAAAACTCTGAGCATGGTATCGGCCAATCGCTGCAAAGAAAAAGTTAACATCATTTATTTTTTTTTAATTTTATTTTTTTATTTTCAAAGGTTTTCAGAACATGTACATTATACAGAACATCACATCAACACATATCCACACATTCACACATATCTACTATTGAAATTATCAGCAACCTCAACCTCCTCATCATCCTCATCATCTGATGCTGATTTTATACAATCACCAAGACATATTCAATTTTCACACACTTTCACACATAGAATAGACAAAACAAATGGACAAAGAGCACTGAGAGAGAGAGAGAGAGAGAGAGAGAGAGAGATCAGACTGCCAAATCTGAGAAGATACTAAATAAAATAAATAACTGCTGTGAGTATTTGTCAATATTTTGTTTTTTTTAAGTAGAATAACAACTAATAACTTAATATAAATAGTCATAATATTCAGGGTTAGTTGAGGTCAAGCTCTACTAATTTTAACCATTTTTCCCATTCAGAAGTAAATCTTCTAAGGCCTTGTTCCCCTTTACCACGAGCAATATATTTCTGAACCTTATAGTAATCTTTAATCGAATTGACTAAAGCCGTCACATTAAGTGACTTATGAAAACATCTGGTTTTGTATATATATTGTTTAATGAACAGAGTAATTTCATTATCAATTCTGGTATAAATTCCAGTTTGGTTGATAAAACCAAAGATCATTGATTCTTTATTTAGTGAGAAAGGAATAGTGAGAGCACTTAAAAGACTTTCAAAATTGCTCAGAAATTTTTGTACTTCCCTGCATTCCCATAAAACGTGGGTAATTGTCTCCCTTTCTATGATACAAAAAACACAGTGTGGGTTATTTACAAGTCCAATTTTGCATAAATAAGAATTGGTTGTTAAAATATAATGATTAATTCTAAATTGCAACCATTGCAATTTTGTATTTTTTGTAACCCTGAAAGGAATAGCATATATTTTCCCCCAAGTTTCCTGATTATAGTCGAATATAGTTCCCCATTTTGTTTGAGCAGTTATTGATGCATTATTTCTGATAAGTATATTATAGAAGTCTTGAGAACCTTTTTTCTTCTTTAAAATTATTACAAGATGTAACGGTATAATTGGGTATATCACATTTTTGTTTGGCAAATTAAGTTGTTTCAGATAATTCTTTATGCTTGTTATCAAGCCATGATATTCTAGATAATTAGTTATTGTACCATGTAGATCACAAAATTCCTTAAAAGACAAGAAAGAGTAGTCTGTGTTGTTTTTCAACAAATCATTAATTATCATAATCCCGTTTTTAAACCACTTACTATAAAAAACAACTTTATTACCAACAGAAATATTTTTGTTATACCATAAGGGTGTCTTAAGTAGGGCAAAATTCTCATTTTTAAACAGCTCCTCTTTTGCTCTTAATTTATACCATGCCCTAAACACATCTTTCCAAAACACATTTTTGCAATTTCCTTGAACTTTATTAAGGTACTCGTTTCCTGAGTTAGCCAAGATATGAGGATTTACACAAGATTTTAAAATGCTTACCCATTTACCTTCTGATCTAAAAAACCTTCTTATCCAACTTATTTTCAGAGCTTCAATAAAAGACATTAAATTAACCATTTTTAGCCCACCTTCTTGATAATTTTGGATTATTATGTCCCGTTTAATCTTATCAGTTTTGCTATTCCATAAAAAATTGAAAAGAACAGAATTGAGCTGTTTTATAAATTTTTCAGATGGATTAGGTAAGGAAATGAACAGATGATTCATCTGAGAAATTAATAAAGATTTAATGACATTAATTCTACCAATAGGTGTGAGCAACCTTCTACTCCAGCTCTTAATAAGAGCTTTAAGTTTAACTAATTTTTTATCAAAGTTCATTTTAGGTATTTTGCAAAGATCTACATGGAAATCTATCCCAAGAAGAGTAAATTTATTAACTCCCCATCTAAGATTCATATTTGGAAGGAGAACATCATTGCTGTATTTTTTACTGCCTATCCAGACAACTTCAGTTTTACCTACATTTACTTTAAGACCAGATATTTTTGCATAAATATTTAGTTCATCAACCGCCCCTTTCAGTGATTTTTCAGAACCATCTAATACCAGAGAAGTGTCATCTGCATACTGAGAGTTTAAGATGGGACAGTTATTAACCTTTATACCAGTTATACTCTTATTGTTTCTAAGGCGGATTGCTAAAACTTCTGCACATAGTATAAAAATATATGGAGCGATGGGATCTCCTTGACGACATCCACGATTTATTTTGAAAAAAGCTGATAAATTACCCCCCTGGTTTATAGCAGAGCTTGAATTACAGTGTAAAATTTTGACCCAATTTCTGATATCGTTTCCAAATCCAAAATATCTAAGTACTTCGTCTATGAATTTCCAAGAGACAGAATCGAAAGCCTTTTCAAAATCAACCATTAATAACATTCCAGGGATATCATTTTCCTCTGTATATTGCATAATGTCATAAACCAGGCGAGTATTTTCTCCTACATAGCGTCCCGATATAAATCCTGATTGATCAGAGTTTATAATTTTTTGTAAAACTAATTTGAATCTACTTGTTATTGATCCAGAAGCAATTTTGTATACAATGTTTAATAGAGAAATAGGTCTCCAATTCTTTATAAAATACTTTGATTTATTAGCCTTAGGTATACAAGTAATTATTCCCTGACGTTGTGTAATAGATAGCTGACCATTTGAAAAACCATAATTTAATGCCCTAACCACAAAATTACCTAACTGATTCCAAAAACATTTATAAAATTCTGATGTGAATCCATCTGAGCCTGGGCTCTTATTACTTTTCATATTCTTTAGTGTTATAGATGCTTCTTTAAGTGTAATAATACCTTCCAAACTGACCGCTTCTTCAACATTTAATCTTGGAACATCAAAATCTTCTAAAAATTCATCCAAATCTATGTCATCGACTTCATTATCAATAGAATACAATTGTTCATAAAAAAATTTCACCTCATTTAATATATCTACTTGTTTAGTTAGAAATTCCCCATTTTCCTGTTGTAACTTTGGAATGATTTTTGATGTAAAATGTCTATTTTCTAAATTAAAAAAATAATTGGTAGGTTTTTCACCCTCATCAATCCATAAGGCTTTTGCACGTATTATACTCCCTTTTATCCTATGTACTCTAATCTTTTCCAATTCCTTTTTTTTCTCAAGTAACTTGTCTAAGTCTACATTATTCTCATTTTCCAGTTCCTGTATTTGATCTATTAAGGTCTTTTCCCTTGCCCAACACTGTTTCTTTTTATAGGAAGAATATGAAATTGACTTACCTCTAATTTCCATTAATAGTGTTTCTAAAAATAACTGATCATTTATAACAAACTGTAAATCTGAATCAGGTATATCATCTATATTTTCAGGATTATATATAGGAAGGCAATACTGTAATTTAACTGTTTTAATAGTATCATTAATTATATTAAGATATTCCAGGTCATATAATAAGGAACTATTTAACTTCCATAGACCTTTACCTTTTTTAAATTCGTTAAATTTTAACATAATTTTGGGGAAAGAATGGTCTGATCTGTAACCTGGATCTATACTTGTCTCACATACACTTTGTAATAAGTTCCCAGAAACCAAAAAGAAATCTAACCTAGCCTGCTTGATAGGTTTACTCCTGCGCCATGTATATCTGGAAATGTCAGCATGCTGTTCTCTAAAAACATCCACTAAATCAAAGTTATTTATTATTTCTAATATCCTTTCACGAGCCTTTGGATTATTAACATTTTTGTAGCTTTTATCACAATCTAAATCAGGATTAAGAACTAAATTAAAATCCCCACAAATAACACAGCTATCATTTTTAAACTCATAGAGAGTTTCTTCTATTTTATCATAAAAAGTTGGGTTGTCAGAGTTTGGACCATACAATGTAATTAAAGTTATTTTCTTACCTTCAATTTCTAGATCCAATGCCAAAAAATTCCCTGTCAAGTCTTTTTTTTCCTTTATCACCTTGACTTCAAAATTGTTATTGATAAGTATTGCTACCCCCCTTGCATTAGATTTAAAAGAATTAAAATAGCAGTTATAGCCCCATTCACTCAGTAATATTTCTTCCTGTTCATCGGTAAAGTGAGTATCTTGCAGACAGTAGATATTGTATTGCCTATCTCTTAAATAAGTAAAAACATCCTTGCGCTTAACCTTGTCACCAAGGCCCTGGCAATTGGCAGATAATATCTTAATTCCCTCCACAACTGTTTAAGAAATTACAATGCATACAAAAATGTATGGAGTTACATCATTATAAAACTTGTGATAATATATCTCATACAATACAAGTGATAAATATAACGCTTTATTCCTCATTTTCATTACAGGCCTTACCACAAGAGGGCATTAACGCATTTGCGGTTCTACAGCACTCCCATCTACTGGGCAAAGAAATGATGACACGTATTTACCGGAATGGAAGCGAAATCGAACCACTGGCTGTAGACAGACATTATGATTTTGATTATCAAGACATGCGCTACCTGTCGANTTAAAATGTTAGGAATCACTCTAGTATAATCAATGATTCCGCCCCTGAAAACCTACAACGTCACATTTTCCCTAAATTAGAGCTCACACTTATCGCCAATACTAAGCTTGTTAAACGTGAGAAGTTTCCCTTGACTTATTTTGGGAGAAGGGATATAGTAAATGATTCAATAGTCTATATATGTTTATAATGAGTATATAACATGTGGGATCCCATTTGGTCTTCTCCCTCTAACTTTTCATGAATTAGACGTCACACTGTTATCACAATAATGTGTTACCGTGGAATGACTTGGTGTATTTGGTATATTTTGTAAGTTTATTACACTGTTGTGTGGACCCATTGAAGTAGTCATTTAATGGTCACCTGATCAGTTGATCTGTGAATACTCTCATCATGTGACCATAGTAGTTGAGGAAACGCCAAATACGAACCTCTCGAACGAACAACTTAATATAATAAACCTATTGTTATAACAACTGTAATACAGGAATTATCGTTATAGATTCTACTTTGTAAAATACTCTGATGGGTAAAACATTGCATAAAAGGTATTTATTTAGTTTTATTTATCAAGGGGTGAAAACATTACTCCATAGTATAAAACCTCAGATTTTCTTTTGATTTTTTTTTCAGGATGACAAAATCGAGGTGAAATGTGTTTACGATTCAAGCAACAAACAAACTATTACAAAGGTAAGTAACAATGCAGTCTTTGTTATGTTTTAGTCCCCAAAGTTTGATGGTCAGAGTTATCTCTCTTACGTAGTGGCACGGTTCATAATACACACATTTAACAGATAAGTTCATTTGCAATTTACCAGTCCTCCTGTAAATGTTTAAATTCATAAATTAAGGGTTTGTTACGCACCTGCTCTCTGATTCTATAGTAGCTTAGACAATTTGGATATCCTACTTTTTGTACCCTAGCATAATCGATGAGTCCTCATACAATTATGTAAGACGAACCAGCTGTATGTTGTTGCAGTTTTATCCATTTACTGTATCTATCTTTAACTCATTGGCCCCTGAAGACACATTTGAACTCTTCCAGTTCAAAGGGTTCGAATAGTTCATTATGAAAATTCAGGGGTGTATGAGTGTTACGTTCATCGGTTAAGGAGGACGTTGTGATTGCTATGGAAGTGTGAGTCGGGTAGAGTCTAAGATATAGATTAGTTATATCAGGTATTTTCATAAGAGGTATTGTTTCATAATTACACTCAATAATGATATGCAACAAGGTTGGCGATATGCTATGAGTGTTTTGAAGTACATGTTAATTTAACTCTATTTACAAATTCTCTACATAAGTATCAAAGTGAGATTTGTTTCTCGAAGAAAGAAAACCGGAACATCAATAAAGAATAATCATGATTAAAATTTTGTAAAATATAAAATATGCATACACGTGAAAATAATATGTGCATGTACTTATTTATTGTGAGACCGTACACATATACGTGTGCGCTACTAGCGCTTGAGAATGTGTTCTTCTGCACAATGAATTTCTGCCTGATGTTGGATTATACAAATGTATTGGAAACGTGAGTTTGTATAAAAAAAAAAGTATCAGTGTAATTTGTTATATCCTTAAATGATTATAGCAAATATGTTTTTGCAAAGTTATCTTCGTGATAATGATAAAGACCGGTTTAAATTGTATGCACTGTACATGGTGTAAAGGTTGCCAAGCTAGAGGTAACTTCCCTTTAACTCAGCGATAGAACGCTCGACAAACGTTTTGGTCACGGGTTCGATCCATAGCGGATGCTCGTATTCTTTTCACTACCTCACTCCCATCACAAACTGGTACCGTTGCCCTTCCCCGTAACGTTCAGGGAAGTGGAGATCCTTGAAAAGGTGTAAAAGAAATAATGTCAGGGTTGCCTTCGTGGGCGAAGACTTGGAAGAAAGAGAGGTGGTAATATAACAGATGTGCATAGCTTGGCTCGAGGGAACTTCCCTTTAGCGCCCGACTAGAAAGTCTGGAATCGCAGGTTTCAAATCCAAGCTAACGCACGTGCAGTGTATTCTGTTCCCTACTTACTACAACATTCCTTTTGCATTCTTATATCAACCTCATTCTTATATATGGTTATCAAAAGACGTTTAAATGTAACATTAACGACTGGTAGGATACCAAAGACCTTATTAATAGAAAGATAATTTCTAAATGAAAAAGAATATGACTTTAAAAGAAATCGTTGATATAATTTGACATTATGAAGAGGTAATTTGGTACAAAAGTATACAGGTTATGATACTTCCTTCGCTTGAATTTCTAGTGATATTAATACATAAAAGGCGATTTTCACTGCTGACGATATGATAATGATGCAATTACACAAAAAAATGATGATATCTTTATAGAGTGGTTATGATAAGGATTTTGCTATCATTTGAAGCTGGTGTATTTATGTCACAACAAAGAAGGTCGTCGTTAACGGTGTAACTTATATTACAGGGAGGACTATCTACTCACGAGGAGATGTGTGAGGCATTCATTATGTATTACCCACGTACGCAACTTGACCTCTGTCAGAGCTTACCTCTCTACAACACTATAGATGCCGATGTTCGAAACGTCTATTCTATAATCAAGACATGGAACTGGACAGATCCGGCGGTTAGGGCTAACTTCCGGTCAGCGCTGGACCAATCTGTATATTACCACAACGCCATTGGAAGCACTGATGCCATCAGTGTAAGATTTGTTAGAAGACAATAAGAAATTTTAGCATTGTTATACTGACTTTAAACAAATAAATATTGTAGCTCAACTATTCAAGACCAATGCTAGTTGCATAGCAATGCACGAGTTGTGTCTATCCATTTCTGACGAAAATATTGCCCATTGTTAATAAAGTCAGAATATTTCAATAAACGCATATAGTTTTTCAATATAGTTTATAGGGCAAAATCATTCTTTGTATCTAAGGACGACAATTGATTATAAGAGAGGGCCTTTGATTGCTAAATGTCAATAACATATGTTTGAATGAAAAAAAAAACCGAGTAGTTGACAGTTTAACAGTGCTCATCTCACTCCTAAAATAGAAATGTGTGTATATTGTACGTATCGCTTATTACCTTTTAAATACTTTGGTCATATTATTTATATTACAGGCGCACATTGCGAAAACGGAGCCCCCGACAAACCACCCGTATGTAAAACCTCAGGATACCAGATGTCCCTCTGATTAACCTAGGTTTTCAGGACCGGAAGTGACGACCATGACGTGGCACGCATTTCGTCGCATTTGATTAGAAAGTGATCAATAGAAAATAGTTTAAATGTATTTGGACCTTTATGGGTTTAACCATCATCATGCTTGAGTATGATTTTGTCGACGATTCAGCTCATTGTTTTGATGTTATTTTGCTATAAATAAAGATAATTGAGCACAGGAAATATTGAATTGGTATGTTTTTATCTGTTGATTATACCTATCGTAGGTATTCACGCACAAATAAATGTGGGTTGTTGATTCACAGTTTAAAAACAATTATGTACTTTTTATAACAGCTGATAAATAAATTGCATTGATATTCTGTTTTCTGTTCCTCTTTATTTATTAATCATCGTGCAAAAATGCTACAGTTATTTGTTTCCTTCTGATTCTATTTAAAATCCTGTTTTATAGCTATGACTTATAAACATTTGCAGGAAAAGAAATAAAATACTTACACATATTAGAAATCAACATGGAGACCTTGAACAAAAATATGACCAAGTGTTTCGGAAGGGTACCTGAGAGATCCACGTGATACCTCAGGCTTAATAAAACAAAATAGAAACCACAAAAATGAACATAATCAGCAGTCGATATTAATATAACAGTTCTTTTAAATGAAACCAAATTATGGATCATTAACCTTGCCGATACACCTCATCAACCTGCATCATTCGAAACCCTGTATTGTATATTTTCGGTGAACAATCATCATTTATCACGGAAATATTGGTCTTTCGAGTGAGCTAGTGAATATCGTAAATTGGGAAAGCGGGGAGGTTCAAGATAACAAAATTGAAATCATCAAATTTCTCGTGTAGCTTTCTAGAGAGCCGTTCTTGTTCGTCATGTTGTTAGTAGATATCTAGGAAAGGTGCTGATGTCGAAGAGTTGGTATTATATTTAATTTCTAAATAGTAAGGGTACGATCAACATGGCTAATGCTGTTTTAGCTCTAGTTTTTTCTCCATAGGAATGCCTACAATATGCTTGGGAATTTGCCCACCAAAAATATTGTCAAACCGGAAATTAATAATTCTCACCATTTCATCCAAACTTTATTTCATTTGTTGCCAGTGTCTTAACTTGTCACTAAGGTTCTGTAACATCTCAACCTCCGCTTACTCCTCGGTTGGCATTATGCTTCAGAATCTTAGCTCTCGGCTGAGATAACCCAATCTCGCTCAGTTAAAGGTAATAAATTATATTAATCTTTTACACAATTAGAGGTGCTTTTTGGTAAATAAGCAGAAAGTAACACATTTATTTCGCGTAAAGTAGGCAACGTAAATACGTAACATTTATATATCTCCACCAATCACTTCATATACTGCTTTTGTTTTGCAGAAAGATTCGAATGTTTTAAGGAATCGAAACCTCTTCACCTATGTAACTATACAAGACATTAGTTTACTCAGCAATAGCTCATAAATTTGACAGCAACTTTAAGAAACTTAAACGTTAGACTATATTATGAAGACTTTGGGCAAGAAACAACACCAAAACACTGTTTGCATGCATGTCTTAGTTTACGCTTGCTGTATTTTTTGCAGTAACCGCCGAAATACATGAACTTGGTAATTTTGAAAACATAGTACACATCTTGAAGTAATACCTGTATAGATGTTTACAGTAACACTTGTCATCAGCCGATATTAGCATTTCTCTGACACGCGATGATTCATCCACATTAAAATACCACGATGATGATCACAACTGTCAAAAATATTATAGCTTATTTACCCCAGTGTCGAATTACAAGCAGAAC